GCGATTTATTTTCTAAAGTAAGCTTTCTTCACACTCAGACTCTTTGAAATATATTAAAGCTAAGCTATGAACAATTTCGAACTATAGCGCCATCTTGTGAAATAATTTTTTTTTTATGATTGTAATTTTTATATGGGAGAAATCGACCCATAAATAAAATACCTATTTTATAATTCTTTCGGGCCATCTAGTGTCGGGTAGTACTGCAAGGGATCCGAAATCATAAAGCTTATAAGAGTATGTACATATAGGTATGTTCGTGCATTCTTTTCTCAAGAACGATCTAGAGAATTATGTGGGCCCAGAATATCTATAAACTACAGTCTGCACAAGTATTTATATAAGGAACATGGATTAAAGACTCAAGATTCTATTCTTGGAAATCTATTTGCTACTGAAACGCTTCAATCGATTCACAATTCCACATACATACATAGATGGTCATCCCAGTAAAAAAAATTGCACATATTGTAGTAAGCCTATTCTTATATTGAAATATCAATACATGCATTCGCACAAGATCAATGTACCATAAATGAAGTTTTGTCACATATTTGACCTACGCTTTTATAAAGATCAAAAGAGACCTGTTGTTGTTATGCGTTCTACGGCCAGTGTTGAATTCAATTCCAGTGATTTCAAGAAGATGGGTCAACTTGTCACACAACAAGTTCTTGTAGGATTTTCAAAAAGTGATAACCAAGACAGGTGGCATAACTGGCCAAGCGAAAAGCGTTCCCAGTACATAAGTATGCATATATTATATTAGACCCCAGCACAAATATGTTACACATCGTGTGAACATGATAAGATATAATCAATTTGAGGTTTCCACAAAGCGAATGTGTCATCGTTTCTCGTATATGGGATGACGATATTTGCTTTTTGTCTCTTTTAGTGGTTGTGGTTCGAAAGCATTGAAGTGAAACGCGGTTGGCACAATTTCCAATATAAATATTTTCCGCTTGGCGGATACATACTTATACATATGTTACGTATAGTCAGTTTGTTCAAATTAAGGTTCAAAATTATTAAACCGGTTTCATTCAGGTTTTCAGAGGTTAATTGCCTGCATATCTTGCGCTACTATGTGTTCTTAAAGTCGTTAATTAAGATAGTGGATCAGTGGTGCTCCTCTCAGTTAAATTAGTGAAAGTTTGTAATACAAAAAAGAAAACGCCGGAAACCCTTTACAGTATATATATAAATGATCAGTAAAACTAGCTGAGTCGGTTTAGCTACATATGTCCCTCTGCCGGTCCTTTGTCTGAAATTTTGCACCCGTTCTTTTTTCACCAAGAAACTACTCATTTGACGGAACACCCGATATCGGACCACTATAGCATATAGCTGTCATACGAACTTACCGATCAAAATCAAGTTTTTGTAAAGAGTCTTTTGTATTTGTGAAGGGTATTATTGCTTCGGTGCAACAAAAGTTAACCTGTGTTACCTTGTTTTTTGTTACGATTTGCTTCTAGTAGACTCAAAGAGCAAAAAACGGTCGTTTAAGTTTATTAAAGATAAAAAAATTGATATAGGAATATTGTTTTGCAGAGAATTTTCAGTAGAAAGTTTGAATTACGATTTTTTAATTAGGATTTTGAACCTTCGTTCAAAATTGGACCGTGGCTGATTCATTGCTCAGATATCGGCACTTATCGATAATAAAACATTTTTTCCGTCTGCTAAACGCACATGGCAGCATTAACAATTCCATACGTATCTACAGACTTATTCTATCATCTACCAAACAAATAACGGCATACAAACGTACTATACAGCAGTTCACGCCAAAGTGCATTGAAGCGTAAAATTTGGGTGGAAATAAGAGAGGTAAAAAAAGTCGAACTGACAGCGTGAAGATGATGATTCTGATATGTGTAAATGGGAAATCCCGCCAAATTGAGAGCAGTAAGAAAGCGAGAAAATTTCAAAAACATTCTCTTTTCGATTATGGCTTTTTGCCTTCAACGTACCAAAAGTTTGCATGCACTCTCATGGGTATGTTTTTGCTGTTTTTGTCTGGATTAAGAAGCCTTTGGCTTGCTTCAGCCTGAATATGGATATATGTATGTATGTATTGTATCTATGGATTTACTGGCGTGCAGGCCAGTTAGCTATGTATAAGCCTTCATGTCAGCCGTGCAATTTTCACTGCCGAAAGCCGATTTTCAAACGATTTTACAACTAAAATTGACATCGTGAATGGCATCAAAATTGCCAAACTTGCTGCTGACAAATTGTCCATTTTCGCACTTTTTCTATTAACGCCACTTTTTTCCCTTCGTTGAAAGCTTTTCTGCTTTTCTATTCGCCGAAACCAATTCAAAAACTGAAAAGTGGAGTGAAATGCTTCTGGCGGGGCAATCGAAAGATGTTTGAGAAATCCCCAAAATAAACTTCAAAAAATTCTGGCGACATCATTAAGCGCTACTACAGTTATAACCGCTGATCAACACTTATGTACGTGTGCATACGCACGAATACACCGACTCTTATTAAGATGTCAAGTGTCTGCTAATGTTTTCACACTTCAATACCAATCAAAATATATATTATATACCATATATAATTATTCTGACACAACAATACATCAACATAGTTAGTTAGTTCGTTAAGCCGATATTCGCTGTCAAAAATTATTGAATATATGTATTATGTCTGTAGAAGCGACAGCGGGAATCCCCGGTAATCACTCTTCATCGATTTGTGCATTAGAAATTCGCTTTGGATGAAAAAAAAGCAAACAAATGTATACCTTTGTATCTCTTTTCCGTTTGCTTCTAGTTTTCACCGCTAAGCTGTGTAATTATTTATTTGCTTTGCTTTTGTCACTGCTCCGAAAGATGTCTAATCATTTATTTGTGTAAACAAAACAACGAAAAATTCACACTTAATGCCGAATATATCTACATAATAATAAACGTTTTTGCACAGGTACCAGTCTATAGAAAATATTGCGGGGAAAACTGGTATTTTTGTGACTACAACGTTCGTCATCTATGTTGTTCAAAGCAATTAGTAGTTGTCATATTACACTGAGCGAAACTCAGGAAAGAACGAATTAATTTCTACTCGAAGTACTAACCATAGAATAAAAATATATATATTACTTTTAAATTTGTGAGTAGAAATTCCAAAAAACAAAACATGTTTGTAATATAAATTAATTTTATTGCAAAAATGTAAATTAAGTCTTTCTTCTGCAATTTTTACCGAATTTGTGTCGGTTGTTCTGTTCGCTAAAAGCAATAAAATACGAAAAACCAAGTAATGCAAACTCTACTCTTTACTTAGTCTTTTGAACGCAGATGATGCCGCTCTACTTCACTCTAACTATATTCACTTCTGCCAATGAGTAAAGGTCCATACATTCTTCGGTTCTACAACAAATATTAGAAACTTTACAACTGTGATTGATAGATTTCTTTAATAAGAGTGTACAACTGTTCTTGCTTTCGCTCACTAGCTCAAGAGTAGATCAGGTACTCATATTCTTTACATATTTTCTTCAACATTAAAAAACCAAAAAAAAATTATTACTGCTTCGGACAATGAGTCGCCTTGACGAAAAGGCGTTTAGTATCAGACTAATCGGAGAGCTTTTTCCAAGCAAACTGAACTGCCCTATGTTTTTCAATGGGCAATCGGTTTGTTGATAAAACGTTCTAGAGATTACAACACAGGAATAAAGCCTCAACTAGTAGTCTACCAATAAAATGAAATTTATCTTTATTCGTTATTTTTAAAGTTACTATGTTATTGATTCGGTAGGCCCGATTCTCAGTTTTTGTGAATTCAAGAAACTGTTTGGAGATAGTTATTTTAGTTTTTGAAGACCATGAAACTTATGTTCTTCAGTTTATTTGTTCATGTTGTTGTGATAAATTTTACTATTTCACTAAGTTAAAGCATATAATGATTTTTCGCAGTGCATAAATAAAGGAAGTTGAAATCATAGCGAGTTTCAACGAAAACTAGCTGTCTGGCTTAGCGGTAAAAACACAGCGAAGGGAGTTCACAGTGCCAAGTCAAGGCAAGTCATGGTCAAGCGAAGACGAATAACATTTAATAGACATGTGCATGCTAACACTGTGAAAAATTTTGAAGTAAATTTTTATTATGCATGATTAAAAATGTAAAATTAAAAAATATGTTATATGTCTGTATATAATAAACTGGCGTTTGTTTAGGATGTTATATCAAATGGCATATATTAAAGATACTTTATAAAAAATATATAGTAAATAAAGTATGCACAGAATTTATTAGATTTATAATTATACGAGTATATACACATATTCATATATTGATTATTTATTCCCTGGACATGGTATACAAGTATTACATATGTCACGAAGTTTGTAACACCCAGAAGGAAACGTCAGAGAGGGAACATTATATTCTTCGAACAAATTGTGCAGATCGGACTACTATAGCATATGGCTGCTACAAATTGACCGATAAAAACAAGTTCTTCTTTTTAGCTTCGGCTTCTTGTTTTTTTGATTTTTAAATAACTTATGTTTGCAAAAATTACGAGAGTTTATGAAAAAAATATGTTTTTTAAATTCACGTAAATGCTTTTTTGTCTTTATTGCCCACAAATTTCGCTGACTAACACGTTTAACTAGAATTAGCATTAGCGTAAGACTGATAGACAGTTTTTTTTTGAGTAGTATTTTGCGGCTTTGAAAAAAAATGAAAATGCTGTAAACCGTTTGTATGTACGACATATATACAAACTAGGTATGTATACATGTACATCTGTCAGCCAAAAGCAAGATCACATATCTCAATACGAAGAGTTGTCGAATCAATAAACAGCGTACTTAACACTCTAATACAACATGTGTACATATGTATATCTATATATCTACTTTTGTATAATTTTAAATATATTTATCTACTTTCTAGCGAACATCGCAACTCATAATTTTTTTCAACTCAAAATCAATTCAGTTCCCCTCTAAGCCATTTGACCGGTTTTTTTGTGTGTGGCGGCTGTGAGATTTTTTTACTGCTTTTGCGGCTTTGCTGTGCGCGCTTCAAATTATACTTGCACGCAACTGCGGCTCGACACTCAGAATCCGAGCATCAGCCGTGGTAAGCGCAACTCCGACTGCGAGCTATAAAATCAAAAATAGCAACGCAACAACTCAAAGTTTTCAAATTCAAAACTAAAAAATTTGTTACAAACAAGCAAAGGAACAAGTAAAAAAAAAGTGGACCGCAACGAATTTTGTACCTGACCAAATATACCGTAAATTGTCACAAATTCAAATATTCAGTGAGTGTGTGCAACGCGCGGCTCGAAACAGCAATCGGATTACATACATTACTTGTGTAGAACATCGCACTCACAGTGTCGCCAGGATGTCCGCCGTTCGGCAATTCACTCTGGGCTGTGGATTAGTTGTGCTGTTGCTGGTTGTTTGTCAAACGAAGGGTAAATATTTTTGTGCAAATCACAGCTGTTTTATATGCTAGTGGGAGTTAAATTGTTGTTGTGTTATTGCTGTACACATTTGTAAAAATGTTGTTGGGTGCTGGGCAAAAGTGTTAAACAATTTACTGTTGCCGCGCTTAGGACATTGGGTTAGCCGGTGGCTTAAATTGTGGCAACGCTCTTGGTCACCAAATTTCATTTGACGCTTGGAATTTACGTTTTGGTTGCCATAGTTTTACCGTTGAGTTATTATTGCGTATTTTCGTATATTTCGTGAAAATCGCTTCACTTTCATAAATCCACACAAATATTTTTGCTTCAAATATTATATTTTACGTAGGTATGTAAATACAGAGCGGCTTATGGTGCAAAAAAGGCTTAGAATAGTGGAATCTAAAAAAATATGTTCATTGGCATGCATAACAGTTAGTTTAAGTGTGATTTTTATAAAAATCAAGGTTTTACAAAAAGTGACCTTTAATATTGGTTTAATACCGGCGATTTGTAGCGAAACACTTGAGCTGAAGCTCTTTTATTGCCTATCGATTGGAGTAATTGGGGTTTGTGTCGAATTAATTTATTCTAAAAAATATATTTATTTTGGAATCAGAATTTTCAGAATTCTTAAAAAGCAGTGTCCTATTAAAATATATTTGCAGAGTTTTATGCTTCTTAGAGTTCTCAGGGTTCCGGTAAAGTTGATTGTCGAAATGAGTTTATTTACTTCTACGGTCCGGGTTCCTAAATTAAATGAAAATCTGAATCCTATCCTATCCTAAATATAAAATATCTCTCTGTTTATATTGGCAGTATTGCGCTCGTCATCCTAAATTCCTTGTCATACATGTGTGATTTGGGGAAATTATATCTATCGGGCAATTTCTCGCAGACTTCCTCTGTGGCAACGCCTATATAATATCTGTAATGTCTACAATTCCACAGTCATGTATATATATAACAGTCATGTTGGGCTCTCCTTCAACTGTCCGTTATATTAAATAGAACATAAGACGTATCATAAAATAACTTTTAAGCGTAGTTAGATGATAGACAGGCCAAAAAACGATTCTTTTTAAGCAATAGAAATTGCCGCTGACATCACCACATGAAACACAAAGATGAGATCGGCTGACTGTAGGGTATGAACAAGTATGAGAGCATTTCGAATACCGAGCTTTTAGACAATAGTAACGGAATATATCTAAAATAACTCAACTTTCCAACTTAAAAGACTTTGGATTGCTAAGTTGAAGGAAACTCCAGTGATGTGTGTAGACTCTCCGGAGAGCACAATAAGCTAAAGGGCAGCCGTGTGCGAGTATAGTTCGGCAAACCTTTTCAAACACCCAACCAAGCAACTTGAGAGGTACAATCATAGATAACTCGTCTATGATTGTACCTCTCAAGTTGCTTGGTTGGGTTGTTGTAATAAAAGTAACACCTTCAACATAAGATCGTGAGAATTATGTCCATCTTCTTACTTCTCTTCTACGCGAAAATCATAAGAAATGACATATGTTACTCTCCAGCAGTAAAGTAGGGTGCTAACGTAGTAGAAACTTAACTTAGCTTAGTAAACTCTAAGTCCATTACAATCAATTATAGAAATCTCAAGAGAAAACCTATCGAAATTCATATCATCGACATCAAAGCACCCTTAAGGTTATAATTATTTTTGGTAAAAAAAGTTTAGCGAAAGTGATTGTATATATTGATACAAGATCATAATATTTTGGGACTTTCTTTAAGGAATTGATCAAAACCGAACTTTCTATTTATTTAAGTAAATTCATGTTTGATGGACGTACCTAAGCCTACCATAGAATCAATACGAATATACAGTTTAACTTGCAAATTAATTTGTCGCTTGGCTAATATATTCATTAATCGCTGACGTCCAGATATATAAAACAAATAAAAAAAGGCAGTCAAGCGTACATGTGTAAGTAATTAATGGCAAAATTTAGCCAAAATTTCTTTGCTAATTTGCATAATTTGGAAATCAAGTAGCTAAGCTTAATTTGACAGGTTTGTTGCGCGTGTTTATTCCTATATATCACAGTATCAGTATGGGTGAATACAAACACCTAACTAGTAATAAATTAATAATGCGAAAGGCAAATAAAAAGAAAAAAAACAAAATTGAAAAAATGTTATCTCTTTATATTAGGCCAAGTAAAAAGTTCGTTCGGTTTTTTTATTGACTGTGTAACTTTGGGTAAATTTGTCCGATTTAAGTTTAATATGCGCCGTTTTATTCGTAAACTTGCTGCCAACGAGATGCCAACTTCATTATACCCCACTCGTAGAAGGCTACGTGCCTATTGACAAAAAGCTCGGAGAGCCAATTTTCACAGGCCTCTCTTGAGGCGAACTTCTCACCATTAAGTGCGTTCGCCATGGACAGGAAAAGATGGTAATCATTTGGTGCCAGGTCCAGACTATAAGGTGGGTGCATTAGGACCTCCCATCCGAGCTCCCGGAGCTTCTGACGCGCCACCAAAGACGTGTGTGACCTGGCGTTGTTCTGGCGGAACACAATTCGGCCTCTGTTGATCAAAGATGGCTTCTTCTGGATGAGTGCTGCCTTCAAGAGGTCCAGTTGTTGGCAGTAGAGGGCCGAATTGAGCGTTTGGCCATAGGGGAGCAGCTCGTAGTAGATGATTCCTTGCCAATCCCACCAAACACACAGCAAAACCTTCCTGGCCGTCAATCCGGTCTTGGCCACCGTTTGGGCCGCTTCCCCGAGCTTTGACCACGACCGTTTGCGCTCGATGTTGTCGCAAGTGACCCATTTTTCATCGCCAGTCACAATCTGCTTCAGAAACGGGTCGATTTTGTTGCGATTCAGCAGCGACTCGCAGATGGAAATTCGGTTCATCATGTTTTTTTGCGTTAAGTGCTCACGTGAGGGTCTGTGTCTCTATTTCCATGATTTTATCGCAATTTTCGACGACAGGCCTTCCGACGCGTGGTGCATCTTTGACATCGAGATTACCGGAACGGAACCTAGCGAACCACTTTTGTGCTACACGTTTGTTTACAGTATCGGGCCCATAAACTAAATAAATTTTTTCAGCCGCTTTGGCTGCTTTTTCGCCTTGATCGAAGAAAAATTGTAAAATATAGCGAATTTTCTCTTTTCTGGTGTCTATCTTTGACGAGCGCTCACAACGAACTGAGTCAATCAATCGAAAAACGTTCAAACACAAACGTGAATAAACCTGTTTGCAGCGCCGTGTAGTATGACATGATGCGACACGTAACACTAGTACTATGGACAATAACGCCATGTCTTAGATAAAAACCGAACGAAGTTTTTAGTTGACCTAAGATAAGGCGATATTCTAGTCTGGATGCTCGAATTTTGAGGTGCCTGAGACAGTAAACCGTTCACGAAGATATAATGCCAAATTAAAAAGTTTTTATAGTGATAAATATAAGCAGCAACGATATCTTAAAAACTGAGGGACTAATTCGAGTATATATAGACAGACAGACAGATTGACATGGTTAAATCGACTCAGCTCGTCACCTTGATCATTTACATCCGACGTTTCCTTATAATAAACTATTATAAAAAAATTTCAAAACAACATGCATCTTCACACAGTACTACGTTAACAACAATTAATTTACCACCACTCAATTGTAAATAATTATTTATTTATTCCTCACTGCGCACAAAAGAGCACAGCACTAATTTACACCTTTGTTAAATACACTTTTTCCAGTCGCAAGTGCACAGTTCTTTTATCCCCAGCAACAGTACTATCAGCCACAGTACTATCAGCAACCACGTCGCTTTACTCGCCAAGGCTCGGTGTCGCGCGCCAATAGCAATGCCTTTGAACGCGAAATCGACTTCGGACCGATCGGCCTAACCGAGGGTGTTTCCAATTCGCGCGCTGTAACAAAACAAAATGGTGGTCTACGTAATGGCGGAACAACAAGTGTCGCCAGGAGTAATGCTATTACGCGTGAACTGAACTTGGGTCCACTGGACGTTGGTAGCACACTTACACGCACACAGTCACGCACAAATGGCGCCGTATCTCGGGGCATTGCACAAGAATTTAATGTGGGCAATCTTGAATTTGGTGGTTCACTCTCACGTGATAATTTGGGCAAAGGTTTGGGTTTGTCGCGCGATCCCAACGGTGGCACCGATCTAAATTTGGGATTGCTCAGCTTTAATTTAGACCCCTATGCTCGTCAAAATAATCAACAAGCCTTGACCCAGGCTCAAGTGAACGCACAAGGACGTGGGGCGCGTACTCGCGCTAACAGCAACTCGAACACACAATCTCGTCAATTCGGCGGTTTGCAAATTACCGACACAAGTTCACGCTCGAATGCCTTCGGCCGTGTCCGCAATGGACAGACTTCAGCTAATACTAGAGGCTTTGCTGGTGATGCTTTCACAAATGCCAATAGCTTTGGAAGAGGTTTCTTCCGTCGCAGACGTGGTACCCGCTATGTGCGACCCATTGTGGTGCGTACTAAACGCTATGCCAGACGTTCTCACCCACGTGAAGGAGGCTTCTTTTTCCCCAGTGAAAGCAACGCACAGTCACAGGGTATGGCTGAAAATAAAGGTGACCGCTTCGGTCAGCAAGCCGGCTCAAACACACACTCAAACAATCGCGTAACTGATGGCGGTTTATTCCAGGATAACGGTGCCTCCAGTATTGGATCGAATTTGGCTAATGATGGTTCAAGCGGTCAAGTGAGTTCGGCTAATTCTAATAATATGAATACACAAACCAAGGACGGCAGTTCGAGCACGAATGGTGCACAGAGTCAGTCGCTCAATTTTGATAATAACCAACAGCAGGCGTCCTCAGCGAATGCTGGTACCACACACACGCGTGACAAAGATGGCGAAGACATAAGTTCACATGGTACATCGCAATCGACAAACAACAATCCATATGGCACATCCAGCAGTACGACCAATACTAAAACGGATGTTATGCGCAATGGTAACTCTGAAAGTGTCACAGCCGATTCGAGCGGTCAGTCTATCTTCCAAGGCACGAGAGGCCAAAATGCTGGCGCATCTACAAACTCGAATGTTAAGTCTGAGCGTGGACCTAATGGATTTGTAAGTAATTCAGCATCGAGTAGTGCAACGGCTACTAGTCAAGGTGGTGGTAATGCCGATGCGTCCGCATCGGCTTCATCATCTTCGTCTGCTGGCGGCGGCAACAGTGGTGCGTCTACCAACTCAAATGCCAATGCTGGTGGTCACAATCCCTACTACGGGGGTTTCGGTGGTAACGGCTTTGGTAATGGCAACGGCTTTGGTAACTTCGGTGGAGCCCAAGCCAATAGCAATGCTTTTGGTGGTTGGGGTTGGGGTCGATGAAAGAGAAAGGGAGAAAAGGAAATAGAAAAGCATGATAAATATCCAGGATACTATTTTATTTTTGCTGAAATTTTATTAGATTACGAATAAATTAATTTATAATATTTTTTTGTTTTATTAATGTGTTTTTGTTGTGGTTTTGGGTTTTTCTATGATGTTCTCTTTTAAATGTCACAGTCCTGAAAACACTTAAAATAATCGAATACACTTGAAGCACTAAGTACACCCTATGTAGTCTTGGCTTTCAATGACATTAAAAGGAGCACCCTGATTCGATGCACAGATTGTTACAAGTAACTTTGCCAGTGATTTATTTAAATCGGTTATATTTTCGTAACTCCAGCTAAATTTTAACATTTTTTCGTAATGTAGCCGACTTGACCGGGGTGGATAAAAATTTGGTTTCGTTCCGGTTATGAAGATCCAACTATAATGCGAATGGTATACATTTCCCTCGATGCCCAGATTTCTATTTCAAATAACGTCGAACATTAGTTGAGCCGCGGCTAGCCGTTCAGTGTGGGTTTCTTTGAATTGAAGGCTTTATTTAGCGTAGTTCGAATATTCCGACTTAGGTGAAGTATGTAATGTTTTGTTTGACAACTTGTTGGCCGATAAGATAGTTTCATAATATCAAGCTCATAGAATCCCTCGTCCCTATTGGCAAAAACAAAAATGCTTCCCTAGCAAAATCTTTCGTCATAAACAGGAACAGGTAGTATCACTTTACGCCAGCTATAAGGTGGATGTCATACTATAAGGTGGATGCTTAACAACAACATCCCAACCAACCTACTGGAGCGTCTGGTGAGTCACTACCGAAGTTCCTGATGAAAACAATTCCTCTTCTATTGGCCATTTCTTTACAGTACAGGTCATAGTTGATAGCTCCCTTCCAATCCCACCAAACATAAAGTAAACTTTTCCTGACAGTCAATCCCGGCTTGGCCACGGGTATCGCAATTCGGCTTCGACCATTTTCAGTTGACATTATTTGAAGGGACCCACTTTTCATCAACAGTAACCATCCTCTTTAGAAATTTATCGAATTTTTTATTTCGAAAATAGATCCAGGGGGTTGTTTTGCGTTAACTCTCGTGGCACACACCCGTTTTATGTTTAGCCTTATTTAAATGTACCAAACGACTTTTTGTGGCATGTTTAGCCTCTGGACAATCAAAACAGTGCTTACAGTCGAGCTCGACAATTTCCATTATTTTGTCTTTAGCCTGAGAGTTTCTTGGTAAACCAATTACACTTATGCAAAGCGAGCTAAAGACATTTATTGGAAAAAAATGGAAAAATAATGGATTTCTGATAACTGGTCCTAATATTTTGATTTTATAATAAACCTATTACCTATTATTGCGTAGTCGCAGCAGTAAAAGAAACCAGTTTTAAATCGTATTTCAGCTAATTAGTAGGGTATTTTTTTGCGTTTTCCGAGCAAATTTACCACAGTAATGTATATATCTTTCATACCTTTATAACGTAGATATTTCAACAAACATAAAGCCTACTGACTTCTTAGAAAAGTTTTATATTTTGACTTGAGATTTTTTGATTGAAACTTAGGAGTTTTTTCGATATTACGTCAATACTTTTATATGAAAAAAAAAATTAAATAAAAAAATTAATAACAGGAAAAAACCTTAGCTTCGAAGCTAAAATACCCTTCACGGGCTCATTTTTTGTAGTATAAAGGAGTATAAAAATATCAATATCTTAATTTTGATCGGTGAGTTTGTATGACGCCATAGTGGTCCGATATAAATAAGCTCTTCAGATATTGCAACATTGTCTTAGGCAATAATGCATGCCAAATTTCTTGAAATTATCTCGTCAAATGACAAAGCTTTCCACACAAGTACGTGATTCCGATCGTTAATTTTTTATGGGAGCTATATGCTATAGTGGTCCGATATCGGCGATTCCGACAAATAAGCAGCGTCTTGGGGGGAAAAGAACGTGCAGTTTGCATATATACGAACGGACAAGCGGACGGACAGTTCGTCACGCTAATCAATTATATATATTCTTTGTAGGGTCTCTGACATTTCCTTTTTGGCAAACTTCGTGGCAAACTTAATATACCATGTCCATTGTATGAATATACAGTGTGCTTGGGTCATAAGGTTACTTTCCACCAAATTTCGTAAGAGAAAAAAAAATGTTGGTACAAGCTAAAAATAAAAAACCCCAAAACTTGGTTATTTGAATGTTTCACATAAATTTTGAGGTTATCTTAAAAACATTTATATACAAAAATATAGACCATATAACTTTTTTATATAGGATTGGTATTTTTGTTGGAAATCGAGGTAAACCATTCTTAACCCTTATAAATTTAACTACGTCCCTCCCCTTCCTTTTCGCGACCTTAGATCTTTTATATATTTTATCATTCGTTGCCGATGGGTTTCAATATACTATGAATTTCTTTTATTATTTATCGTTTCCAAAAGCTTCTGTATTGGTCTACAAATAAATTTGAACTTCGTTGTCATTAGTAGCGTCTACTCTAATTTTATTGGAATCCGCGTTGTCACTCCTAAAACTGGCTTTCCCATAATGCGGTGACACCTTCAATAAATAAAATTTAGAAATGCCGTTTCTATGGAAACAATCACAAACACGCTTCCTATTTTGGATTTTACAAACCGTAATTTTAAACATTAAAGTTAGGCGATCTTATTGTCCATTAATAAGTTCACAATTCCTCAATAGAGTTTGCCCTTTTTTTTAAGTCGTACTTAAGTCAGTTCGACTTCAGTTTTTTATTATAATAAAAATTAAGTAGGTATAAGGTCGCCAAGTCGTGTTAAATTTCGACTTTTTCATATTTATTGTGAATACTCGTTTTGGAGAAAAACAAAGTAAAGCTAAAATGCACAACTGGTAGTCTACACATAGGCTCCGCTCAAATAACGTTGAACTCACATCAAATTGTAGCATGCTTTTAGGAACTCACTTTTTCTTTACCTATTATAGACGTACATCTACGCTGGCCTTTCAACCTGAATAAAACCCAACAAATGCCATTGGAGCAGTGGCAAAGCCAACAGCAATATCAACAACAAAGAGAACAACAAAAACCATTGCAGCAAACGCTTTACACACCACCGCAGCTGCAACAAATACAGCTAATGCAAATACAACAACAACGTCTGGCTACAGAAGTCACCGATTTGCGGATGCCGAGCTCCTACAATAACAACAACAATAATGTTAACTATAATAACATACCAGCACCACAACAACAACAACCGCCTCAGTTGCCAACGAAATTTAATACCAGACAATCGAAAAGGTACCCCTACTACTATAATGATTACAATTACAATAACAATAGAGTGCCGCTAATGCAAGGGCAAATGCCGGGCCAGTTGCCACGTAACTATTCTTATCCTCAGTATGGTACTGCGGCTAAAAATTCAAGCACTGAACAGTTCGAAAAATTCGATCTTTCTCAGCGAAATGCGCGCACATTTGGATTCATCAGCGACTTTATCACGAGCCTATCGTCACCTTGCGTCAATCCTTGTACTATTGAAGCTTACAATCAGAATCGTTGTTGTATAGCTGTTGTCAACCCCGAGCCACCTCGTTGCTGTCCATATCCGGTGCCGCGTCCACAACCTCCCGTAATGCCACCTATTCCCATACCACCACCGCCACCGCCACCGATGTACTTACCCAGACCGCCCATCAGCTGTTGCAGCGCCTGCAGCTACGGTTACTTTGGTCCACCACCTTGTGGCTATTATGGTGGGAGTGGTGTCATAAGAAGAGGCGGTGGACTTTTCGGTAGCGGTGGTTTTATCGGTGGTAGTCCAGGCGGTTTATATATCGGTGGTAATTTCGGTAATCTTGCTTATAGTGGAGGACAATTTTCCCTGTCCTTACCACAACCATCAATATTTGGTTAACTTCAACTTTTGTTTTCTATGTTCTAGTTAGTTAGTTCTTTTAAGTTAATATATTAAGTCCTTAACTAATAAAATGTTAGTATAAGAGTAATGCCCTTTTATTTAACCTTTTTGATTACTGAAATATAAACTGTGAGTTTAAGGCTATTAACTATGTATTTGCGGTCAAGGAAAGTGATAGTTCATAAGTCGTTAGTAAGAAATTTTAATATTAGCGATAAATATTATATTTATTGGCGGCCGGCCCTCATCTTATCAATTTGTCCTGTTATATCTTACAAAGTGTTGATCTTATTTAAAAAATTAAAAGTTACCGAAAATACCAAATCCAATAAATACGATATCTGAACTCAAATAGACATGACCAGATTCCTCCTTTTCCGACTGTCAGGTTTGCGGATCCGGAATGGATACAGACTGATATCGGGTCAAAAACTGTCAACTGAGCAGTAATTCATTTACCAAGTATTGCCGTAATGGATGATGTTACGGTTACTATGCCAGAGCCCAATAAGTACTTGGTTTCACCGTCCTGTGGCGCCATTATCGCAAGAGATTTTTTTGATTTCTGCCAAATCGGACATTTAATTTTGTTTTGACCGCGTGTGTTTTGTTTTGGTGCGTTTTTAGATTTCGGAATTATGCAACATAAAGCAATTTCCGTCGATTATATAGTTATTCTTGTTGGAAGGAAGAGTGCACATGAAATAAAATTGCGCTCAGGTACTGCATACGATGACTCTTCTCCTTTGATGGTGACCATTAAAATATGATTTAACTAGTTTTTATCTGGTCGCACCTGATGAACCACGTTGGTGTGCTCCGAAAACGGATACGACCAAGGGGTAAAATCTACGATCTACGAATCCCATAGTAGACATCCCAAAAGACCGCGTATGGCATATCCTTGATTGGGATTAGCTATCAGGTCCCATATCGTCTCAGTTTCTATTAACCACTTTCCTTAAAACAAACAGAACAATTGTTCAGTAAGCTAGGTAAAGCAAAGAAGAGCAAACTCGAAATGTAGCGCAATAGTAAAAACTCGAATTCGAAAAAACTCGAACTGCATAAGCCACATAGTTGCTTTCCATCGAAATGTTTACACTCCGACAGAAAATCGGGAACAGGGACGAAAATGTGTACAAACTTCTTATCATCGAGTTGACGTCAAGCCAAGCCATAGCCAAGGCCACTAAAGAAGCGGGAAAATGCTCCGAGTGCGTGGAATGCATGCAAAGTGCGCAATATGAGTCGTTTAAGCGCCATTGTTGTGTACGGATTGAACAGATTACTGCAAGTACAGCAAGTAAAACTGAAGTAACAATGAGTGAAAAAGGCGAAATGAAACAAAAAGCTACTCTTTCCTGCTACATAAGCTCAACAGCACAGAGCAGAACAATAGCAAACCAAGGACAAGGAAAGAAAAAGAATTGCAGAAACTGTGTCACTATGTTGCTGATAAGTCGTGTCCCACGAAAGACCCATTAAGTCGTTGTGTCCACGCATACAAACACGTTTGTTTTGGCAAGGAAACGTGCAAAATATCCAACAATTTAAATAATAGGAATTCTTGTAAATAAGGAAATCCCGTTAAAAAATAAATACCAAAAAATTCTCAGATATATTTTTATTTATTTATATTGTTTGACATACATACATCGTGCACATAAGTTCAGTCTAATCGTCTAATATAAACCATAGGCTCTTAAAATTCTCGAATACCGTTCAGTTGTGGTAGCGACGTGCTGATTGCTTCACATTTTTACGTCCTCCCTTGCGGGCGGAATGGAATACTTGCGGTGTGTCCTTGGCTGCGTAGAGGAACAAGGGAATCTCTTCTACACCCGTTTGTAATTGCGAGGCACGCACAAGGCTTGGGCGTGCGAGGTCATCGGATGCCAAACGACGCACTGACTGTACGTCCGCTGTCGCAAGTTTGGTCTTATCCACCGACAGATTTTCCAACAATTGATCCACATCCTCTTCGGCCACATTCAAAGATTCATCTTCTGGGTTGGGCTCTTCATTAACAACAGCAACTGGGTTATCCTCACTCTCGGCTTCAACATCACCCTCTTGTGCTTGATTGAGAAGGCCCTCGATACTCTCCAAATTGGCTAGGCCGCTCAGTTCAAGTTGTTGATGCAATTCGTTGGGTATAGCAATGGCCTGTACATCACGATGCCCCGAGATGCCATTTGGCGTGGGAATGAATTGTACGTTGGCTGGAATTTCAGAAGTTGGATACACGGGCACTAATTCGCCTTCGTTTTCGTCACTTGATTTCAACAAAATCAAAGAGATCGGTACGATCTTCTTGAATTTCAACAACACCAACTTCTTGATGGCCACGGCTCCAGGGAAGACACGTGCCTGTTTGTGCGAAAGTGCGCGTTGTGTATTTGGATGTGGTTGACGGCCGGCAACGTTGCTTTCAACAGACGAGTAATCATCATTCTCGTCACCGTGCACTTGCACGTACCGGTTTTGGTGGCGCGGAACATGACGGGCTATAAAAGAGGAGAAAATGTGGTATTTAAAATATTGAGTGCTTGAGAAATTTAACAATGCTGATATGGTTTATGTAGAATATCAGAGTGTTTTTTTTATGTTTCTGAGGAGTTCATATTTGCTCCTGATGTAATCAGAGCTACAGTGTTACAAGGATTCGAGGTTCGTTATACCACTCAACGGGCTCTGAGTTCGACTTTAGTTTCTACATACGTATCACATTTTTTCTTTTTTATAACTATAACTTTCTTGTAATAACTATCTGCCTCTTGGCAAGCAATGACAAATTGCAGCAGCCGTTCGGAACCGGCTTGATACTCAATAGTCCATCCGGATCGTCGAATTCAGAACTATCGTAATTGAAGTTTTTTCTGTTTCTATTTGATTCCCCTGCTATAGTTTTAAGGTAAACAGTTTTTTTTTCACTCCGACCAAGCCACAGTCAGTCAGTCATTGGTTGTAACGCGTTCCAACAAAAAAATAGACTAGAATGTTATAGACTATTGCTATTATAGACTAGACTAGAATAATATATATTAAAGCTTGCCGGTACATATTTGAGGCTTGCAAAGCTAGAACTAAAACGATGGTCGCATTATCTCTAAACAACGGAGCTTAAGTACTCATAACAATGAAAATTGTAAACGACAGATTTTAATTTTAAAATTTAATTAAACCTTAATTGGACCTGTAGATTTCTTTGGCCGGTTATGTTTTCAGATTTATTTAGTTTAGTTCAGGGTTGTAAATAATGCATTAAAAAAAAATTGAATTAACATTTGCGTTAAAACTGTTTTTTGTTTAAAATCCCACATATGGGATTAAAAAAAATTTAAAAAATTTAATCCCACATACCTTTTATTTTTTATTTTTTTCATTTTTAATGCCGGATTGAAAAATAAAAAAGAATATCCGAAGTTTATGTTCTTCTTGTTTTCTCTTGCTTAAAATAAGAACAGTACAGATGTCTGCTATTTTCAACAAGTTTTAGGCTGTCAATTTCTTGATGCTTATTCAAATGAGATTTTTTAAAATAGAACATCAAGAAAGCTGTGAAAACTGTAGGCTCTATTTAGGCTTTCTGTCGATTGTGAATTAAAATTTGCATGATAGTTACATTTCAGTTCATAATACACAAAAGTAACAGTATTGAATAAACCGATTTTTCATAAATAGGCGCGTGATAAAGATTACAAATTTAGTAAACTGAACTTTCTCCTAGTGTACTACTTGTATTCTTCTCCAATGTATTTACGACTTACCTTGCACAAGACAGACCAATGCCAATACAAGAAAAGCAATGCTCAAAACTGATTTCGGACTCATTTTGCGATACTAGATTTCTTTCAGCCACTACTTTTAAAACTTACAAAGAAAGCTCTGTTTCTTATGTGTCTTCTTTAAAGCGCGATTACTAAATGCTTAAAGGCACCAATACCCATAGACTTTTTATATGAACAAATCGGAAACAAAGCGTAAAAATAAAATAAATATAAAGCAAAGAGATATTTGTTACTGGCTTGCAAATTGTTCTGAAATGTATTAAGGACAAACGAAATGGCCATTTAAAACATTAACTAATAATACAAATAGCTATAAAGACGTCATATATGTATATGAAGAAAATAAAATAAAATAACAAAATGCAGAAGAAAGCATTTATTTGCCATTGAAGCTAGTCAGCTATTGGATCTGCGCCGATCTGCTGGTTCATAGTTTCAGTTGCAAAGTAGCAAAAGAGCCCCGACACAATAACAGCGAAATTTTAATAATTAAATTTTAAATATCTATATATGCATATATATCTACATATGTGTGTTCTTACCAACAAGTGGCACAATCAAATGCGAAAATGCCGAAAGAAATTAGGAAAATGCTAATTTGTATAAGCAAAATTGCGCTGATTTATGTGTCTGGTGAATTAAAATTTCAAAATGCGGGTATAAACTGACAAAAACAATGCTGTGAAACAAAATACCTTGCACCGTTCTCAGTAACGAATGAAACTTGCCAAATCTAGGTCTTGGCTGGCGCTCTAGCTTGAGCCGTTGACCAGGTGTCTTGAGACGACAGGCCATTCAACCGCACACGAATCTAGCGGAGACGCGTATTTTGGGTTCAGCTGCGTAAAAGTGACCGTTATCGCGAGATGACACCACATATATTTTTCGTATAGGAACAATTGGCGAAAATGGCTACTACTATTATTAGGTAGCTTGGCAATACAGGAGCAGTTGTGAAAGTAAACATATTGTCGCTAATAAATATTATAAAAGCACATATGTATGAACATATAAATATATGTACACGTGATTATACGTGATTCGCAATTGGGTCAAGCGTTGACTCAAATACATAAAAGTCATAAAATTAAATTTTCACAGGAGAAGCATGGAAAATACCACATAATTAAAAAATCTGCTATGAGAATAAATTATTAACCCAAACCAAGAGAAATTCGCATTAAAATTAGTTAAGCAATTAAATTTTGGATGATTTTCGTATCTTTTTTGTTTCTGAAGGGAAGCATTTATATCGATGTACAGCCTCCCATTAGCAAACATACATATATACATGTAATTAATTATACAAAACTCCAAATTAAGATTGCTTGATTTTACCGCTACGTTCTTCATAGCAAGCAGTATTCAGTCTAGTGATGCCTGCCCATAAATCAGCTGCAGGGGCGAACAAATCAACAATTCTTTAATGTCACAAGTTCACATCACTAAGAGACTTTCTCAGCCAGCTAGCTCAGCTCCAAGCACCTCGTGGGTGCGTAGTAGAGCGCCACTTTCACACTTAGGTGCCTCGTTGGAGATCGTCACCCCCCGGTGAAGTCTATTATTAAGTCATTAACACATCAAAAAACAGTTATTATTTTGGCAAATGCTTTTTTTTGATTGCGCTGTTGGGCGAATTTTTTAATTAGCACCCAATGCTGTTGCATATTATTTACATTGAACGGAAAGAGATTTTGTGAGATTTTGAGAAAAACACGTGAATGCTCAGAAAATTATAAAATAAAACAAGTAAGAAAAGACTAAGTTCGGGTGTAACCGAACATTTTATATTCCTGCAACTTGCTAAGATTAAAGACGTAGAAAATTTTCTCCCAATTTCAACAATATGACTGACCGATTCTGACCATTTTTGTCCATAAGGTGACACACCTTAAATGCTCTATTCATGCAAAGTTTTGTGCCAACATATTCATTGGTGCTTGATGCGTATACTGGACAATCAAATAATCAGATGGAGTTATATGGAAATCAGGCGTGGTTGTAGCCTGATTTCTCCAATTTTTGCATTGTATTCTTATGTTATATTCTGTATGTATGTATGTATATTCTGACTCATTTATTCACTGATTTATCATACTTTTAGTAGTTGTTAACAAAACCGTTATATGGAGAGTGGGCGGCATTGTTTTCTGTTTTCATTCATTTTCACACTGTCGGAGGAGATATTAAAAACACTTCTTCTCAAAAAATGTGTTTGATTTGACTTAAGTGGTTTGAAAGATATCTATTAACATTAAAAACATTATAGGGCGGGGCCACGGCTATTTTTCAAGAACTTTTTACCACAGATGCAAATTCCAACAGCGCTTCATTGCACTAAATTACTGTCTTTTATTTTATTGTGGAGTTTTGTTACGTCACTTTATACGGTGTATTCAAAGAAAAAGGTGAATTTTGATTTTTCGTGGGCTTTGTACATTCGATTTTCGATATATGTATTTTTTTTTGTTATAATCGGACACATGTTTATCATGTGATTGCATTAAGGGCCAATTTCGATTAGTAGTTCATTTTTGACGACAGAAATGGTTAGTCACGTTTTTGTGCTTTGTTTGCCTTAATATCGCATAGGAGTTGTTGAATGACGTCAACAACGATCCGGGTTTGCTCAAACGGCTCATAACTGGTGACAAAACGTGGGTATATGGTCATGACGTCGAAACCAAGGCCGAATCATCCAATTGGAAGCTGCCAGATGAGCCAAGACCAAAAATAAAGACAAGCGGATGTTCGAATATCCTCATATTACTAATATAAGGGGTAGGGGAATTATGTAACCTATGATTTCCATCTTTGACAACACGCCATATTATTTGGTGAAAACGATGCTCTCTGACTTTCATTAAGGTACCTCACAGATTGTCCGATATTTTCGGCTAAAATACAGCCATAGGCACTGAGGTTGACGTATTCAGTATCTCGTTTTGTATCGTAATTTTGAGCTTAGTTATAGCCCTTTATATTATATGTGTTCGCTTCCGGCCCACATTGGCTATATAACTCTATATCTGGGAAACTATAATACTCTGTGTAGCAGAGTATTAGGAGAGCATAAAAGTTGTTAAAATATAAATAGTTTAAATGTATAAGTTCGCCTACCACTACTCTATGGTATTGAGTATGATGGTTCTGTGCGAGCTCTAGTTCAAAATGATAAAACACGAAATACTCAAGCTCGAAAAATTTTTTTTTTAATTTTTTATTTTAAAATTTGAATTAATATTTGTTTTTTTTTAATCCGGTATTTGGGAGAAAATTTTATTTTTTATTTTAATTATTTTTAATTTACGATATTTAAATTTAAATATATATTATTTTCACAACGGTCATAATAATTCCTTTTCGAGATATTAATTTCAAGTTGACCTGATATTCTAAACATTAAGTTTTTCGGATCTTGTTTTACTTACAAACTGAACTACTTAATTTGGCAGGGTTAAGTTGTAGCTCTCCAGAGTTTTAAGCTTCCACGGTTTATTCCTTAATTTCAACGCCAAACTCAAGTCACTGCTGGTTAAAGATTTGCAGGTCTTCCAATTTCGTAATATCGAGTACTTCGTCGCACAGTGTTATAGCATACAAACGTATACATATATGTATGAAATTATTCTTCTCATGAGTGAAAGTAAACGATATAACAGGAAATAGATTCAAAGCCTCAGATCGGATTAACTTTCGTCAAACTGTTTATTTTTTATTTGTAATGCAGATTAAAGAAGGGCCTACTAATCTATAATATACACTTACACACATGCACAAGGTACACACATACGATATATATAGCAGAAAACTTATTCACCTCCAAGCACTCTCCCTTTCGTTAAAATTAGCAGTGAACACTTTCCAACTCGTTTAAATTACAGAGGAAGTTCAAATGAAAGAAAGTTAAGCTTATGAAGAAGGAGAAATTGCTACTAGAAGTTAGTGAATAACTAATATACTTGTATTTGATGTATATGTTAAGTACATAGCTGTGGAAGAACTGTGATGTTGGGCTGGCAGCAAAGCTTCGAATGATGTTTTATTTTTTCGACCATCGGTCATCTCCATGTCAACAAAGTTCGCCAAAGTGTGAAAACTGGCCGCCCACCATCCATCATTTTTGCAGCTAAGTTTGGGCAATTGTATAATTAATGATATCTAAAGTAAAGCAATGTATTTTATATGTATATGAGTATTTTATTGGTCCAATTAATTAGCCTGCTGACCAATTTCTGTTTTCTATAAATGATATTATGTAAATTAAGAAGAGCTTAGAAAACAAATTATATGTTTTTTTAAAGTCTGCGTTGTTGACTTATTTGAAAAATGGAGCGACACGGCAATACACAAAACTAGTTTCTAACTTTTGGATTTAATACAAAATATTATATGAAAAATCTTAACCCTCTTGTGTGCGGCATGGTTCTCGAGGACTTCGTTTTGTTCCTTTTTTTTTAGCTGGTATGGTATACAGGTGCATTTCGTGTAGCAAAAAAGGGTATACAAATATCTTTGTGTTGATTTTGATCGATCAGTTTGTATGGCAGCTAGTCCTTGAGTTTTCGCCTGTCCCCTGCTCCTGTTCAGGGTATAAAAAGACAAGAAAATTTCTGATATCGAAAGTTAAGTTAAGTTAGGTTAGGCTATACTAGCCGGCTGTCACGCCATACATAGACCCACTGCTCCTTAGTAATGCAAGATAGGGGCTCAGCTCGTTTCCAACGTATTCGTCATACAGGACGTCAACGCTTTTTACGAACTTTAAGAGAGACCGGTTATCAGCTTTTTCGTGTCCCGGTGCGAGAATATTGCCTTAATTTTCGATCGACTATCAGGTTATAATTAATCTATCTCAGCAGTTGTGGCTGCCATTCTCTTCGTCGAAGTTGGAGACCTTCAGCACCCTTCAGTCTTCTGTCAGCATATCAGAACTTTGTCTTTTGAGGAGCCACAGTGCATCCTCTGGTTTTACCGTGCGAGGTATGAGCCCCTTCGAGTTTGGAATGCAGCTACGCTCCACTATAACGGCCCCCTCCTACAGGACATGAAGCTTTTCAACCATTTCCTTTGCCCATAACAGTAAAGATTTTGAGTCCATTCAGCCAGCTCGCACCATTCAGTTTCACGAAGAGCGTATTTAGCAGTCTACCACTTTCAACTGATCTTGAGTCATTTTCCCCAGGGAGTTGCTCAATGTTCAACTATTAAGACATTTTTACAGAATTTCACTCCGATTGGTGCTTAGATTTTGCTGCTTTTACTATTCCTTTGAAGACTCATAGAATCTGCAGATAGGTTTACCGAATACCTTAAGGATAAGATAAAACTAGATTCCAAAATCCTATTTTAGTTTTTACCTCGTTCTTATGTGTCTAATTTTTTCGTTACCCATTCCAAAAAGGCTTTACAAGTTTTTCAGCTATAACTTGCCTCGAGTATTTTGTTACAGTGACAATATAGTATTTCTCTACTTCGTTTTATATCTTCTATTTACCAAATACTATGTTAATAAATGTCCCCCTCAGGGTTAAGGCCACTTTATTTTAAATAATTAACAGAAAAATGAAGCACAGAACACTCAAGGCAAGGTTACAATGTGGAACAAAGCAATGTACCTACTCGCAAATTCTCCGCTATGTAACATAATTATGGTAAAGCGTTGTAAACAAGTCGGCAAACTCGGACACACACCGAAAGCTGTGAATCAACGCCAACAGCAAAATTGAGCTGACAGTGCGTCCAACAACAACACTGTTGAGCGTCACATAAAAAGCTCATGTTGATGCGAGCGTTCGACCAGTTGGTGAAAAGTTGCGATTGTCAAAAGAAGTGTTTGGCATTATAACGAAGTTGAGACTTAGATTTCAAGTGTTAACGTTGAAAAGAAGAAGAATAGAGTAAGTGTTCTTTGCGAAAAAAGTAAAATAGTTTGACTTTATTGACTTTAAACGTAGTAGAAAGTGTTTATTTGTTGGTGACCCACAAGCTTAGAGGATAGGCCTGACCGAGCCTCTAACGAAGAAAACATGTACTCTAAGTACACAATTTTCGCCTTAATGGCTTCGGCGCTATTTATGAGCGTTATGGCAGCCGAAATGAAAATGGAAGTTCGGATGGAAGATTCCACAGAGTCGCCTATTGCCGATCTTGCGGTTATTGGTGAGTAATTTATGCTGTTCAATTAGAAATGACGGACATTCAAAAGAGAATATTTATTCGCAGACACTGAACTCAAAACCTCAACTGAACGTCCACCAGTCGCAGCCACAACAGGTGAAAAGGTAACGATGGGCTTGAGAAGTGAGCAGTCACAAAATGTGCAGCCTCATACCGTCGCTGACTTTATTATTCATCCATTGATTGCTTTCAAACCTCGTGCCCCAGAAGAAGTTGTGGCTGGTAAGCAAGCTGATGGCGCTTCGACAACGACACCTTCACCCTGGACACTGTTCGGCTTCAATGCTGGTCAAGGCTTAGGCTCACAGGTCTCATCTTCAGTATCGAATCTGGCTGGCTCCGTTAGCGGTTGGTTAACCGATCGCATACAATTGCCTGGTTTGGTAGATTCGCCTGTACGGGAGTCCACCACAACCAGCACGACTACTTCAACAACCACAACACAACGACCTGATGTGGTGGTCCGTGTACAACATAGAGGTTCGACTCGTCGGCCCCTTATTGCAATCACAAATGACAATCGCCCACAACGTTTTCATAATAACAACAATGTGAACTTCGAATCGGACGAAGATGATGATGACGATTTCGAAGATGATGAATTAGAGCAAATTAACAAAAAGAAGAACAAACGTAGAAACAATAAAAATCAGCAAAATAAACGGAAACCAATTCGTGACCAAGAAGATATCGATGATGAAGAAGAGGAAGACATTCGTCCAGTGCGTCGGCCACAGCAAAACCGTCGTCGCCGTCCAGTCGTAATTGATGATTTCTCAGAAGAGGAAGATGATGATGACGATGCAGAATCCGCTGAACAGGACGATGACGAAGAATTAGAAGATGATGTAAATATAGAGGTTGAAGAAGAAGACGACAATGTGCAACAATCAAACGTACGTCGTAGGCAAAACAACAACAAACGCCGTTTTCAGCAACAACAACGACATCGCCTAAATGTTGGCAACCAACGTTTCATTGTACGTCGTATACCAAAACCCATAGAAAGTGAAGAGGTCGAAGAAGATGATGTTGACCAGAAGTTCTACTACCGCAGCCAGAGTGGACGCCCCTCAACCAAACGTTCCCAAAATGAAGCAACTTTTTTTCAACGTGGCCAGGAAAACATAATAAACCAGCTACGTCAGCTGACAGGCGGTCGTACACCCACTGAAGTTGGCGCCTTAGTACGTAAGTCCGCAAAGCAGTCGGGCAATAAGCAACAAACCACCCTCTTGGTTAATCGCAATGGACAAACTATCTACTTGGCACCTGAACTTCTGAATGCTGATGATTTCCAACTGGTCAACCCTCAAGTGCAACACCTTAAACAAAGTGCTACGAAATTTCCACAACCACCTTTGAGTGTGCCAGTCAAACGCAAAAATGCACCAACACAATACATAACTATCCCTTGGTCACAATTGGGCATCGCACCACCCGATAAATTGCATTCGGTAACCGAAGGTGTACAAGCCCAACCACTTATTCTCAATATACCAGCCAGCGCCGTGCAAACAATGCAGAATCAAAGCTTGAAACGTAAGAAGCAACCTGTTATCACCGCGGAAGTTGTGCCCCTCCTAGCTGAGGCTTCTATAATGGATGTTTTCAAACCACCAAAAATACCACATGATCGTCACACAACTGACTCAGCAACTCAAATATCCAGTACTGCTGGCAGGCCCATCATCATTGCGACTCAAGTAAAGCCAAGCGCTGACAACACTGCCACACATGCCATCCTGCCACAACGCATACGCCCTGGCACTGTCATCGAGAAGGCACCCAGCAGCGTCGAGAGTCCCCAAGAAGCTTCCGAAGAAGAAGCTGCACCAGAATCTGTGCATAATGTGGAAAATGAATATATACTCGTCGGCGAAGATAGTGAACCGGCTCTGAAACGTCACGTGAAACCCGTTTTTGGCGAGGCGCGTTATGCCTACGGCTCTAACCCTTCACCCTACCTGGAGTTGTTGAAACAACATGGACGCTACGCTTTACGCAGAGATGGACGTGAACTCGAGTTGCCAGAAGTTGGCGAATCGAATGCCAACAACAAAGTGCAGCCCGAAAATGTTGAACAATTGATACCAGTGGAAATTATTAGCGAACCAGAGGTGACTGCACAACCGCAACAGGAGGAGGTGGCAGCGCAGCCACTTGTGGAAGCGCAACCGAAATCTGAATTTAAAAGCGTACAGGCTGAACCGCTCGTTGAAGTCCAACAGCAGTCGGTCGGGGATGTTTTGCCGGCAAATGTGCCAGTGTTGAAGAATAAGGATGACGGACCTGCGGAGGCTGCGTAAAGGGTTGGGCGGTCGAAAGACTAAATTAGCTAAGAGATTTTATAATTATAAGTTTAATTGATAGATTTTAATTTATTGCGACAATAATAACGACAAAATATTTATTTAATAAAACACAATTGAATTACAGCGCAAACATAATGCTGTTGTTTTCTTTGGTGGAACTGAGAAATATATATATACATATATATTATATATGATTAACGGCTCTGTTTGTTAATTTTTTAAGTAGTTTTTTGAAAGATGGTTAACAACTTATCGAAAGTCGAAGAACTAGCCAATTTTTAAGCAACTGAAGCTTCCACGGAAATATTCAAATTAAAAAACATGAAATTATTTCTCTTCTTCTTATATATACATATATATATTATATAAGAATAATAAAGTTGAACCACTTAAAATTTACGTTTTAGAAACAGTAAACTCCGGGACGAAGAGAAATCATTTCATCTCTTTTAATTTGAATATTTCCGTGGAAGCTTCAGTTGCTACCATATATTGTATACATTATATAATAGTTGATTTCATTATGATTAATAAAATATATTGGATTATATCCTCTCAAATCTTCCATATACATATTTTAAACGCAAAATTAATCTTTTAAATGTGTGCTATAGTCAAACTCTTGTTCAGATCTTTAGCTTACATATTTCCGCTACTCTTTTGTAGTTTTTTTTTTTTACTTTAGTTAGATAAAATCAAAAAAATCTTTTTGATTCACCTACTAACCTCATTCAAGTTTATTGCCATCAAATGATTAAGAATGCAAAAAAATCGTTAAATTTTATGCCAACATTTTCGAACAAATCTTACAATCTTATACTCCGTCGTCTTCTGCCTTCTTTTGGCGGTCCATCTCACCATGATTTCGAATAATTAATTAATGCATATTCGCCGGTCAGCCATGCTCGAGCGGCAATCATCAGAACATCATGAACCAGCTTGCCAGCGGCGCCCACTAAGCGCTTCTATTGTTGGCTACATATCTACCATATGTATCGCCGTTTATCTGATTACTATACTATACTATAGTTTCCTACTTAGGTATGTAAATATTTTACTAATTTTGTGCAGGTTAACTGAGTTCAAGTGGCTAGTTGTTTTGATGGTAGCAGGCTTTATTTTGAATTTGACACGCTTCAACATAACCTGTTCGTTAACGAAACAAGCCGCAAATTACCGTTATCTCCGATAGGTATTAATCGCTAAAAAGTATGGAGCAGACGCGCGTGTTTTGAAGAGAGCTCAATGGCGGCGTTTCCAAATGCATATTTATGTAAATTAGCCGAAGAATAACGAGTGAAATATTGGCGAAATTTTAGCTCTTCCTTTAACTTATACTTTTCTGAGGCTCTTCTTTACACACAAGTGATATTGAGTAAAAAGGCACAAGCTGATTGGTTACTCTAAAATTTGTTTTTGGTTTTTATAAAATATGCTATGTTTAAGCATTCAAATTAACATAAGATAGTAGCTTTCTACATTTATAACAATCTTAGAGCGAATAAATTCCTTCAACCACTGGACAACTCATTTAACATTTTTGTCAAAATTTTAGACTCGAGCTATCTGCTGAGCAATTAACCCAAAAAACTGTTACTGTACTAAAAGCAAAAAATAAAGGTTAACGACATTTTGTGTTACTTATGGGTTGTCTCAATAATATTATATTCTAGGGTCAGAAGAAATTAAGATTTTTTGTCTATCTCTGCTAACGCATATTTTTCAGCAAATATTTGTTCAAATATTATGTAGTTGCTTTTACTAAATATTTGCTTAAACCTTAAGAGATAAGAAAATTTCAATTATTTCTAAATTCTAACGATCGATTTGAACATATTCTATTTTTTAAATTTTAGGTTCTAAGCCTGACCAATTCATAGCTCGAAACTGTACTTGATTAAAAACTAAATTTACACAGTTTTTAGTATTAACAGAGCTTAGCGTTAGCTTTTTTAGCTGTATAAGTATAAATACACTTATCTTTGAAAAGAACATGGGAAGTGTGGCTGTACATATGTTTTACTTGATCAGCAAACCGTTAAGTCTATGCTAGTTTTGCAAAGTCCAAGATAACATTGTCATGTCAATGGTCATTTGTTTAAAATTTAAATGAATTTTCAATAAGTAAATCTTAATATAACATTAGAGTAAATTCCATAAAACAAAGTAAAAAACAAGTGGAATGTATATCCTGTCGTAGGCTACGAGGTAATGCTAAAAATGTAACATCAAAAATGTCATAGGTGTTGTCGCTTTTGTAATAATTTTATTCCAGAACTTAATTGCGATAAGGTGGCGATTCCTTTACAATTAAACAATTACAATCACCGCGATTCTCACCCTGTGCGCGGTCATTCATTGCCCTTATAAGCCATCATTGATTGCTTTTCTACAGCGAAGTTACGATTGTGTTCGGGAGGGATTGTTAGATATGTTATTGCTCATATTTTAGATACAATGAGCATAGTCTTAAAAATGAGTATTAAAATTTAATTGTCCGTGTGATAAATTCGCTTGTCTTCAAAAAAGAATCTGTCTTTCCCATTAAATTTTTTTTACTTGGATCCATTTTATATTTTGTTTAAATACTACGTTTACAGTGGACAGTCTTCACAAAGCATTTGTATATTTAAGTAAAAATATATCCAAATTTGTATGCTACACACTAATTTAAACTCTGTATCAACTTTCCTTCGCCGATCGACCCAAAAGAGAATCCAACCAACATGTATTGATACAATAGCCTTTTTTCGTGAATCGCAAGCTATATTCTTGCAACATGTTGCTAAAGAGTATAATAGTTTTGTTTACCTAGCGTTTGTTTGTGTCGTCTAAAATTAATCGAGATAGATATGGAGTTATGTACAATATATATAAATGATCAGGATGACAAGACGAGTTGAATTTCGAGTAACTGTCTGTCCATCCGTCCCTGCGTTTGTCCGACTGTACAAGCGATAACTTGTTGAACTTGGTACACATGCTCTTCTGCTTCCAAAGAGGTTTGGTATTGCAGATGGACGGAATCAGCCCATTAATCAAAAACACATAAAGTGCCTTAACTAAGTTCCACAATAAGGTACAAAACTGGTATTTAGTACAACAAACAGCATTAAGGAGGGATATTTATGGTTAAAAAAATTTTAAAAAGTAGAGGTGGCCTCGCCCTATAATAGGTTTATGTGCATATCTCCTAAACCATTAAAGCTAGAGTTACCAAATTCTCACTCAAGACAAATCTTTTTAGCACCCCTATCGACTGTTTGAAAATGCAATCGGGTGATAACTCGGCTACTAAAAGTCCTTAACTCATAAAATAAAGCAGTCGGAGACGTTGAATTTTTCACCTGGGATGGTTCAAGAGATTCATAAGAGCCCAAGTCAAATTTAGACGATGGACATGGTACCGATTATATTTAAGTGAAAACCCATATTTTGGGTCCTACTTGACCAATTTTAACCAAATTCGGTAGGTAACATTAATCTGATATTCTTATGTTACAGTGCGAAGATAGGCAAAATCAGACAAAAGCCACGCTTACTTCCCATTGAAGAACTTTTAATATTCCAACTGATTCTTTCACTTTCCAGTAGGCAAATCAAGAAGCAATCAATATATCTGGACTAAACTTTGCACGAATAGTACTTATGAGGTGTGTCATCTCATCATCAAAAAATATCCAAGTCAGACCAAAACTATTCAAGCCCCCTGATATGTTCACCCCAGTTTCTATTGCGTACCTTTTATCGAAAATATCGGTCAATCTTTGAGATATAATATAGAAATTCTGAGAGAGTATTATTTTCGGATAATAATATGCCTACATCTGAAAAATGGGTTGAATCGGATCAATAATTCCCTTAGCTCTCATATACCTAATAGAAAGATTTACGCAATTTTGGCTTTATATATCGGCCAATATGTGGGCCTTAAATTGTGGAAGCGTTTTTTCTACTGACGGTGCATCTCTGTGCCGAAAATGGATAAAATCTTGAAAACTTGCTCTAGACCTCATATACATGATTCTACTCTTTATATATTGGCGATGGTATGTGAGTTACCTTAATAAAACTCAGGGAGCATTTTATTCTGTTAATAGTATGTGGTATTACTAAAAATAAATAAAACCGGGTCAATACTATCCCTATCTTCCATATGCCTAATATAAGATTTTCAAACTTCCGGTTGACTTTTTACCGTATATATTAGGCAATAAATAAAGTATCTTAGCAAAATAAACTGAACGTATAATATTGAATATACTATAGTTTTATGTCGAGACTATGTGAAATTGGGTAATTCGAGGACCAATATAATACATATAATGATTATCTTAATCTAACAACCTTTATGCCGAATAAGTCGGTCAGTGTATTAGTTATATTGTACAATATAAATATGTTAATATGAGTAATGTCAAACATGTTTACAACAGCCCAGACCTTTCTGTCCCAAGTGATTTTAACCCAGGGGTTTTCGACCTCCTTCTTCTTTCTTCTTCTTGTTTCTTTAAATCGTTTATGTTGGTCAAAATGTATGATCTTTAGTGAAATTAAGTGGCCAAGTTTTCACAAAATTATGTGGCTTAGCTTAATGTAAATGGAATTGGTTTTGACCTTGGTGCAAACCTTATATCTCTAATGTAATCAATTCCGATCCTTTGGTAGACGTTTTGCACATTACCTCAATATAATAAATTTATAACTTTCACTGACGGGAAGTTTAATATAGTTATAAAACTAATTTAGTCAATGGCCCATAATATAGGTTAATAAGATACAAATTTAATTGTAATCCAATCACAATTTTTACGAACAATGAATATTGAATTCTTTCGTAATATTTTTAAAATCAAGTTTTGTCAACACTTAAAGCCGAGTTGTAAAAGTTTTGAATGTTCGGTTAGCTTTTCCTTACTTGTTTTAAATCAGTGTTTGTCATCAAGCTAAATTTTGAAATAAATACCCTCTTTAAACAGAAACTGCTGATTCACAAACCTTTGTCATCAACATATTTATTTATTCTAATAAATTTCAACAGCTTTGATAAACTTTAAAAATGGTTTCAACAACGTGTGCGAGTCAATTGCAACAATCTGGAAATATTGAAGTCTAATGAATGAATTGCGTATTTATTGCAGACCGACATATTTATAAATACGTATTAGGTTTGTGTACGGATATACAAATATACATATCTATATGTATAAGAAATATGTGTTTCACCAAAAACCACAACCAAAGTGGTTCAATGAACTTTCAACTTTTAAAGCAAATAGAAATTAAAAAATCAATTTTAGCAAAAAAGCTTATCGTTAGTTAATTCCAATACTAGGAGCAGCATGATTAAAAAGAGACTAATAAGACAAATTCATGCAAAGCGGTAGCCCTGTAGAGAAAATATGTTTGGGCTCTACCAGAAATCCTTCTATAACGTTAAGTAAGGGTGTGTCTAGTTTCCTAGAAAATAAAATTTGTACCAAAATTTGTTTGATTTATTGGATTACCTTGAGTAAATTTTACGATATGTATGTATGTTGAACTATTGTTAACTAATTTTTCCACACCTAAGTTATCATATGTTGGTATTAAGGGGTGGGTATTCTAGTTTAGAAGTCCGAATGTCGAGCGTGATAAAAAAGTCAATTGACATTGTTACTACACAATTTTTACTATTTCTATATTCATATTTCAAGAGTACACATAATAAATTTAAAACAATTCAATTGTTAGCTTTTATAATTTTTTTGCTAAAAGGCTATACTTTCTAAAATTTCTAGACTAGAAAACCCACTAAAAAATTAAAAAATTTTACTATTATCCACCAAATCTAGTGCAGACTATTCCAAACGGTTTGTACAATTTTAAGCACCGCTTACTTACTATATACCGTCACTTTGTTTGTGACTACAATCTAATATGGATACATTTTAAATATTAAAATCGAGAATATTTGTCTGGTTCCAAAGTAAGTAATCTAAAAAAATTAAAATTTTGATATAAACTGTTATCCATTCTTCTAATTAAAACGCCACGGGTGCAAAATCACAACTTCTAGCGGTGCGAAAGTCCTTAATTTTCCTACTGGGTCCATCACAACTAAATAACACTTAGTGCTCGTGAGTGCGGTATAATAACTTTTCAAAAATATTTGCATACGAAATGACTAGAAATTGCTAATTTATATTCGCCGGAAAGCAAAGTTATAAAAAACACATTTTAACGAGTATATACCAATACAATAAAAATAGTGAGTGAGCGATTTCTAAGAAGAAATTAACTTTCATTGCTCTTTTGCTTAGTAGACTACAATAGTTTGTATCATAAGCATATATGTACGTGCCTAGTTCCTAGACTTCTTCTTCCAAATTTGCTGAGGTTTGTATGTAATTTTGATTCATCGAAATTTTAGAAACTTTGTTAACCGCGAAGACTGGCACGTTGACACATTTTAACCAGTTTTAGAAGAAAATTTTATAAAAACTCCAAACAAAGGGAAATTTTTTACATACATAAACTGTTTCGTAGAGAGTGTTTAGTTTGTGGAAAGAATTTAAATACTACGTAATTATCTAAAAGTAATTTTTTTTAGCAAATATATTCAATTATTCCTTAAAAGAATAAGTAATCACTTCCTAGCCTTTTGTAATATTTTTAACTCTTCAATTATTCACATAAAATTTCTTAATTATGTAATCAATCAAAGCTCTTTAAGCACTTCGGCACATATCATTATACTTGCTAGAACGGTCAACAAACTGTCAGCTTAGGGCTTGAATATGCTGATATGCAGTGTATTGCCTGGATAATGTCAACGACGCTGTCGGATTTTTAAACAGGATGCTGACACCATTTTACATAGAGTATAATAGTTTTGTTCGCCTTGGTAAACCATTACATTATCGCGATAGATGCTGGAATGTATATTGTATCTTTATAAATTTAGCAGACGAGTCACTTGACTCTCTGTTCGTAGTATTGGGTCACTGCCGCAGCTACAAATTGGCATTATTACAAATATATAAAGTGTAATTATGCTCGGTGAAAACATTTTGTTTTGATGTTCTTATGTGGAAATACAAGAAATTTGGGCGATAACTATGTCCGCCTCCTATATAACTGTTATGTTCGGTAATGTGTGATAATTTTTAAAAAAAATAACCTAATGTAAATCTAGTAAAAAAACGAATAATGGTAGTGGTACCGATCTAATCTAGGAGTAAAGTCACAATCAGATAGTACTTGGCCATTTTTAACCAAACTCGGCTCATAGAGCTTTTAATTCGTATTCTTTGCAATGTTTCAAAATTTATGAAATTGTGCTACAATCAAGCTTCTTCTTTTACTTTCAAATATATAACTCAAGCGTTTATGAAGGCAGAGGTAGAACGAAAACTTGGCTGTAGTTATCTCGGTCAATATGTGGAGTAAACAAATTGAATTAATTATAAAATGTGATTTGGTTTCAAAACTGAATGTAATCGCTCCAGACTTTTCACCATCATCTCATTTTTTAAACCTATTGGCAAATCCTTATCTTTATAATCAAGCTTGATTCTTAGCCATAAAATTTAAATGCATAAAAAACACCCTTTATAATAAGGCAATTATTTCGAGTATGGAGGCTAACTTTGAGAAAAACTTGGAAATTTCTTTTTTTTAAGACTCAATGAAAACTAATATTTTGGATTAATATTTCCATGCTGATCAGGAAAACAATCTATTGAAATCAACCTTCTCAAATCAAAATAAACTAACCTTACCTAAATTATGGATAAAAATCTGGATTTGAATGAAGCGCCGCACTTTAATCTAAATAAATAATTTATTGAATAAAAAATGATTTATAATAATTATATGCCTGGTTTCTATATACACATATGGAGGTCGCTGAACTTATAGTCAATAGCTGGCGGGATTATAAGCAATAATGCGTACTAGTTTGTGATCATTGTGATGCCAGCAGCAATCTCTTACGAGCGGCTCAGAAACCAATGCCCCGTACACTGGCGTAGCAAATTAAAATTGCAAAAAAAATCAGAAAAGAATTCTTATTTTAATATCCCCTAGACGATTGTGCTACTGGTGATGAGTGTTTGAAGTGCTTACCCAACACCAAACACACGTATAGACATACATACACGCAAGCATGTTATTAATTAGAAATTTATATGTTCTTCTCCTCTATATGCCGCTAATGAGGTGAGAAGACAAAGCACGTCGGGTCCACAACATTGCCTTGTCAACATTAACGCATCGCAAGCAACAAAGAAAGCCATGTAGGCGCATGGGAACGCGTGCGAAAGTCACAACAAGTCATGTCAAGCAACTGTCTAAGCTTTCTATAGGGCAGCCACATCGTTAAAATGTGGCCCAACAAATGAGTAAACAAGAATTCTACACTTATTATATACCATATTTGTTTTCAAACTCTTCAGCGGTTATTTGCTGACTTTAAAGTTTTTTTCCTGCTATTCTTCATATCTATACTTCTTTACCTATTTATTTCCTTTTTTATTCTTACTGCGCTTCAAGCTCTGCGGATCAATTTGGTTCTTTGACCATTCTTGGCCATTACCTGTGTATTCTTTCAGCACCGCTAGCTCACAGCTGGGTTTTGCATAAAAACGTAAAGCGATCAATGTGTTCTCTACAGTTCTGCTGGACATTGCTTACAATTAGGACACTTTTTGTTGGTTTCGCGATTGTTGTCTGATATTTATCATAAATTAAACCGATTGATTGATTGATCGCATAAGTCGATAGTACATCAGCATGTTGAAGGCAGCAGCAAGTGTTGCAGCAGTGCTGCTCTTTGTGGCATTGGTGTGTGCAGGTGCGTATCAGAGGCGGGGAAACCCGAATTTTCTTTATTTGTGAAATGAATTACCCGACTTAAGTCATAACGAGAAATTTAGAAGTAATTAGGAACTGTCATAGCCTTTCATATTTGAAAAAATTGAGTGAAGGTAACAAATTTTGTGCGAAATGAGATAAATAAGAATACAAGCTTGTATATATCAAAACAGTGCTTCTGATCTAAAAGTATAAGAAAATTAACAATAAAAAATAGTAACAGAAATTTGAGGTTATGAAATATTTTTTTCAGCTAGATATTTCTTATTGAAGCTAGTTAGTCAGACTTCTAAGAAACCTTCACGGAAAAACGGACAAAATATCTCAGTTCCAAGATTTTAAAACCTATATAGACGGATTTTAGACGAATTGATAGATAGAGCTTTTTGATGTTGAAGTTGATGTGTTTTCTAATTCCGTCATTCTATTGAAACGTATAGTAGGATAACGTAGGGACGCCTAATAATTTTCAGAAAATATATTTTAGAACTTACTACAACACAATTTTACACATCCACAGAACCCCGCAAAGGACTACAACAGCAAGTTGTACAGAAACAATTACGTTCGGGCGCTGCCGTCGCCGCGCCAAATCATCCGTATCTCTTTCTCACCGTGCCACGTGCTAACGGTAATGGACATGAGGTTCAAGGCTTTAAAGTTGTAGAGATCGAGGATGACGATGATGACGATGATGAAGAAGAAGCTGCACATAAAACAACCAAATTCGAAAACGACGCTGACAGTAATGATGATGAAGACGATTTTGAGGAGGACGAGTCCAACAATGCAAATGCAGCAAATGATGAAGACGACGAAGATGATGATATTGTACGCAACAATAATGTAGAAGTTAACGATGATGATGACGACGATTTCGAGTACAACGCAGATGATGATGATGCGGATAATTTGAACGATGAAAACGATATCAATAATAATTTGGTATACCTGCGTTCACGTGCACCACACACACCACGCCTGCGTAGTCAATTGAAAAATCAAGGTGCCGTTATCAGCACCGATGACAAACGTGTCAGTCAATTGAATGCACAACTCGTATTGAAGAATGCTAAACCAACGAATATGATGGTATCGCGCGAACATGCCGGTGCTATTATGGTACCCGATGGCATTATTGAAATCGAAGGACAAAGTGTGGTGGACGAGAAGACTGGCAAGACTGCACTACTGGTGCCGCGTGCTGCACTCGAAGCCATACCAAATGGCAGCGTTGTCGCACTAATGGAAGGATCGACGACCGATAACGAAGAGGCACGTGCCAATCGTGTCGTAGTGCGGCGTCGTCGCAAGGGTTCGCGGCGCAATGTGGTGCGTCGTGGTGGCGGTACGCGTCGTCGCCGTGGAGGCAATCGTCGTCGCCGTGTTAGCAACAAACGCAATAACGTCCGCGTCTATCAAGTGGGAGGTGGCGCTAAACGGCGACGCGGTAATCGTCGTGTCGCACGTCCTGTAGTTTTACAGGGTTGATTCATAGCTCTGATGGACAACACGTGAACTATTTTAGTATTATAGGTTAACTAACAATCGACGGCTATACGATGTTATTTGAATTATGTAATTGACGGAGAAAAATAAACGGATAAATAAAATGTTTTGGAAAATATAGTATACCCAGTTTTCCTTATTGTGAATGAATATAAAGGGAGAAATAAAAGATGATTGTGGAAATATTTAGAAAAATGTATAGGCATAAGAAAAGGAGTAATGAAGAGACATTAAGTTTAATAAGTATAATAGAACTTACTAGACAAATTTATAGATAATATTAATCTCTATTTTCTTAAAAAAAAGTGCACACGCTCACACATTTTTTTCTTCACTCTTTCAATCATTCTACAATCATATTTTCGGCGAAAGCCAAACCACCAATAATAAGCTCAGATTGCTCAAAGAGTTCAGCTATTAATTAAGATCGCATCACTACGCGTCGTCTTTTACATGTATCATCTTTTTGAGCCCAGCTTTACCTTTGAATAATATATTTTGTTATAACCTTTTTTCTATTTGGCTAAATTTCACCGCTTGCGATCGTAAATTTTTCATTCAACTGTCAAAACCATACTTTTCTCCCCATCCAACTATTGGTAATAACTAAATATGTATGTTATATAGAGAAAACGATAAGTGTTTATGGCAGCGAGACACAAAGAAAGTCTCGGATTTTGCAGCTAGCGGAATATGGTAATAACGCGGCATACAGCAACCCACCAACATGATTGGTCATATAAATAGTGATCTTCGAACTGAAATTTATGTGGCTTATAACTCATCGCTGTTATTTTAATATACATAAAATGGCGATATAAGAGCGTAAGCAGCCCGTCTGTTGTTCGCATAACGTCTTAGCAACTAAACGTGTGCTGAAGTCATAATAGCAAATACGACACGTATCGTTAACTCTTAAATATTCAACAAGCAATGGCCAAGTCCAAGTTTTGTCTTTTCTTGGCGCTTATATGTGCCGCAGCTTTGCTAGGCAACGTCACAGCTGGTACGTACACGATTCTTAATTGAAAGCAACAGAACTACAGTATTTTTTTATACTATCATAAACGACCTTTTAGAGAAATCGATATCTTCTGCTGATGCGATTGTTGAGGCAAGAAATGACGAAGTCGCACCCGAATTGCCTCAGCGGGAAGCTGACAAGATCCCTAGTGAGTCATTGCCAGCTAAGTCCGAGTTGCCTGCAAATTCCGCCATTGTGCCTGTAGAGGTGGAAGATAAGACAAATGAAGAGCAAGGTAAGCCGGTGGGTGAAGGAGAAGTTGCTGAGACTGAAGGCGCTGTCATCGGCGCTGATAATAAAACGGAAAATCTTGAGCTCGCGGTGAATGCCGACATATTGAAACAACCAGAAATGGTGCGTTTACTAAAATACAAAACATATGATTTAATTTTTTATAAAACATATTTTTAATATTCCGTATCGTTATACCTCAGGCCCGCTTAGCCCGTCATCTCAACAGCTTCCACAACTATCAGGTATATCGTGCACAGAAAGCTGCCGGAAAACAACGGGCTGCCAACGACATTGACGACATGGAAGAAGATGATGGCATAGTGCCCGAAGAACGTGCCGTACGTCGTCGTAAGCGCATATATAAGCGTAAGGCCAACAACAACGTGCGTCGTACGCATCACAGGAAGAATGTCGCTAATCGTCTAAACAGTGCCAATCGTCAAAATCAACGCGTCAACTCTGTACGCAGGCGAAATAAGAAGAATGGAGCAAGTAGTCGTCGTCGGGTCAGCAATGGTGGCAATAAGCGTCGTAGTAGCAGCAACAAAAAGCAGAGAAAGTCAAGCACTAGCAACAAGCGTCGCTCATCACAAAACGGTTTACGTAAAACCAAACGAAAATCATCACTGAAGAAACGAACCCAAAAGAACTTCAATAACGGTAGTCCGCATTTCGAGGAAGAGCAGGTTGTTTATCCCGTTCATTCGCTGGGGAACAATGTACCCCAGATGATCGTAATTCTGGACGGTGATAAGGCAGAAAATGCAATCGTCGGCCAAACTGCCTAAAGCTGATTGGTTTTAAAATTTATATTTTAAGTATTAAAGGCTTTTTTAATGTATACTATTTATTTTCGATTTAATAAAATATGTTTAAGTAATAATACCAAATTTTGTCATTTATAACAAAACGCTTTCAATGACAGAAATAACCATTACTTTAATATGATACAGGCATTACAACTCCTACTTAACTTTTTTCGGAAATCATAGATTTTTATTTAGTTCAACTAATAAATATATACATATTTATAGGCAAAAAAACTCTGTTATGTCTGTATAATACAAAACAGTTTAGGAATATTTTCTACAACATCAATTTCTGGTTTCATCGCCTTTATTTAAAAAGCTGGTACGTAGATCTACAAAGAACTCAAGTTGAACCCAGTATCCAGTTTATGTGTGTATGCCGGGAGTTGCGCCAACCTTAGATTCCTAGGTAGGAAGCTCTCACGGAAGCCTCATATCGAGAAGAGAAAGGCATTGAATGCCTCATACTGCTGCAGAGGAGCCATTAGCAAAAGGTGGGGTCGCCGAAAGTAGTCCTCATGCTCCACTACATCATAGTCAAGCCTATTATGTTCTATGGTGTCTTTGTGTAGTGGAGGGCTTTAGAAAAGACCACAATTGTAATGAAGATCGTGAACTTTCAACGGACAGCCGGTGCTCATCAACATGTGTGGTGCACTAAGGTCCACTCCAAGCATGGTACTTAATGTCATTCTGGACATAGGATTCATAGATATCGCCGGAAGGTGTATGACCGCAAAAGTGGTTATCATACTCAGATAATCGGGGTTTCTAAATGAACACGTGTCTGATCATTAGAAAATGCTCGTACCCTTTGACCGTATACCCGATCTTTTGGGCCATAGAGTGGCCAAACTAAACTCTGTCGGCTTTTTCTCTGCCAACATACTTGCGAGAGGGATATGATAGAAGCCATTGGAGGAGCGGGGCAGTGAGCTTATATGTCAAAGCTTGGGGAGAAAGTTTGTGAAGGATTTTTTGTCTGGAACGCTCTACAAACTTCAGCTCTAGAGTTCCTGACTATTGCAGTGTTTTTAAGGTATCGGTATGACATCGTGATAGATGAGGAATCGAGAATTAACGCGAGTGATCCCGAAAGTAAACAGCAGTCGGCTGTGTGGGTGTTTCAAGAGGAGCCGAATCCAACAAAAAATAAATAAAAAAAACGCAAAACAGTGAGAGTGGTGCACAACCATTTGTTTGCCAGTTATCTTTCCAGAAATCAGGAAAGCCAACCGCCGCTCTCACACATCGACTGAAACAATTGCATCAAAACATCAGTTTGATGAGTCATCCACCGTATAGTCCTAACGTGGCACCGAATGACTTCTTTTTATTCCCGTACGCAAAAACTAAACTAATCGACAGAGATGTAGAGTTATATAGTATGTACATATAAATGATTAGGATGAAAAGACGTGTTGTATTTCGTACGTCCGTCTGCCCGCCCGTGCAAGCGATAACTTGAGTAAAAATTAAGATATCTTGCTGAAACTTCAATGCCAACCAAGGAGGGTTGGTATTACAAAAGGACGGAATCGACCCATTACCACGCTCACTAAGTTACTTGAAGCGAAAACATATATAACTAAGCTGTGGTGCTGAAAATGTTCAAAAAGTGGGCGCGGCCCCGCTCTCTAAGAGGCTAATTAACTAATTAATAATAAAAAAAATAATACAACAATTTTAAAAAAAGAAAATTTTAAAAAAAGAAAATTAGCAAAAGTGCAATAACTCAATAGGTAAATGCGTCAGAGGCATAAAATTTTTTATCAAAATAGGCGAAATCGGCCATCACCCCAGCTACTTCTCATATACCACAATTTCAAATTCCATATGATTATTTCACTTTACAGTATATTAATTGAAAGAGAATAGTGTTATCGAAATAGAACTTTTCATACAGGATGTATTTGAAATACAAGTATGTAATCTAACGTGAAAAAATAGTGGAAATTGGACCATAATTTTTTATGTTCCCAAACACCGAAAATGTGTCAGTGATTAGGACTGACTTTTTATCGAAAATATCGGTAATTTGTGAGGTACCTTAGTCATAGACCATCGTTTTTTGTATCTTCTTCGTACCTAATATAAAGATTTTCAAACATCCGCGAATGAAACGTAGAGAGCATCTTTTCCTAGTATTGGTATGCTGTAATGCCAAAAATCGATAATATCGGATAAATACTTACCCCAGCCCAAATACACCCGATATAATGATTTCCGATTTTCTATATGACTTTAAACCGGTTATGTTGTCCAATATATTTGGTGTGATATTTCAATATTTTCATAAACATAATGAGAGTTAGCGATGAATATGTTTTATGTCTAGACCGTGGTATAAACCCTTTATTCTTAATATAATGTTTTCCGTTTCTCTAGTTAATGTTCTTCTCATATTCCCAATTTAACCTCTTTTATAATATATATCTCTTTTGAGTTAACTAGGTTATTATCTCGATAGTAATGATACTAAGTAAGTCTACGACCTATAATATATTATATCTTAATACGATACTAAATATTAATGTTACATTCTTTCGCAAAATTTTTTATTATAAAGATTTGCCAACAACTTAAAGTATTTTCCCGACTTTGATTCTTACGAAAGTACAAAATGTTCATTTACACCCGAACTTGGACCTTCCTTACCAGTTAGAATGACTTTTTTATGGTGGCGTTAGCAAGTGCATTAATGCGTGATTATCACTCTTTAAATCGCATGTTCAATTCTTGAGCGAGTTAATCAACAAATTAAACATTGAAAAAAAATGTTTCCATTTCTAACCCCAGGTGGCCTGAAATTTGCAGCGCTCTACATTTAGCGCATTGTACTCGATCAAGATAATATACATAGATAGCAAAAAGATCTACCACATGCTTGGCAAGGTTAATTTTGGCAAATTATCTGTTTCTTCTTGAACTATTTGATTACTGCGGCTTTTAACTCTCGAATGGGTCGATCTCGCTGTAAATAAAACAAATTGTTAGCAACTATTCGTGTGCATATTGGCTCGATAACCGTAAACGAAGTTCTTGATTAACGCTAGTTTTATTTTGGGGCAGCAGCAGATGAACAACTGAAAGCTGTTGTTTACATATCCACACAGAAACGTGAAGCATAATACTATTGATCTCAAAACTTCACAAGAATCCAGATGATGAGATGATTTATTACTTTTGCATTACCGAAGTTCATGACCTATATTTTTACTAATTGCCCCTATTATTTTGGCATTCGACTCTTACTGGTTTTAAAGTATGAAGAAATTAAATTAATTTATTTAGCCTCGGGATAACCCATTAATCTGTGTAATTTTATTTTTCTAAAAATCAAGCATTACGGCCAGTAAAATTAGGCGTCAAGTTTGGTAAAATTCAATATTTGCTTTATGAATTCTTTAGATATGGTTTTGCTCTCGTGCTACTTTTTCTCCTGACTCTTTAATTCATGTGTAAGCTACTTACATATAACTTACCGTATCGCTTGACTGGATGCTGTGAATCCAAGCTATTCCAAAATCGACGCCAATCCACTGCGTCAGTGGGAAGCCTCAAGGTCGTATCATCAGCAAATTTTTAAATACGTTAAAGGGTGTTACAACAACAACCACCGCAGTTCCTCCTACTGACACTATAACGTAACGTTAAGAATTTGCCAAGACTTATTCTAGGAACACAAAAATTTATCGAGGCAGACTTTAACCTAACTATGTATGTACAAAATATTACCTATTGTTGTAAGCTACTTTATTACTCTCTCTCTCAACATTTCTTTTTTGTTTTACTTTCAATATTTTATGGATCTTTAAGGACTGTTTAAATCGTTTCAAACGTGAAAAAATATAGATTGTTTTAGAGCGATTCACAGATTATCCTCGGATACATACGACATATATGTACATTTGAGTATCTCACCTTTGCCACATTTTTCGTCGGACTACTTCTAGGTGGTGTTGATCTTTGATACTATCAAACAAATTGAACGAGCGTTGCGATGTCCCGAAAGAATGGAAAGAGTTTTTGAGTGATTTTGTTGCGGGATATGTGTAGGTGTCAGACTACCGACTTTGGAGAGAAAATTTTGTGTGTTTAAAAACTTTGTATCCGCCTTTAACAAAATTTAATTATTTAAAACTGTGATTATTTTTAATTCAAACTAGTCTTAGAACGAAAATGTGAGCATAATCGCGATAAATTGATTGCATAGAGCACTTAGAAAAATAAATACTAGTGTGGTACTTGAAAGGAAAATTTTAATGCTATTTACCATAAAATACGGGTTGTCAATCTATTAGCCTATAGAAAGAGCCCTTTAGAGAAAAATGTATTTACACCCTTGTTGAAATAAGCAAGTAAGTAACGATTGAATCCAACAAGTTTTGCCTGGTATATACAAAATCCTATAAAAATCCTCAGTAAATGAAATATGATTGACTGCGTTAACGCATTTAAAACCTACTTCGTTCTCGCTCTTCGTCCGCAGTGGGTTTGTAAAGAATGATAATGAGTAAATTTTCTACCATCAAGTTTGATGTGAATACTTGGATATAAATGTTTCATATACATACATAGTATATATTTAGGAACACAAAATGTGAAATGCGCCAATACTACAATATTTAGTTTTCTGAAATATTGAAACCCCTGATCAGGACTAATGAAATGGAGCAGAACATTATTCAGTTCAAAATTGTTATTTTTTTTATATTTAAAGCTAATTTGGCTATGGATTTATAGGGTGTGTATTAGGTTTAGTTGGATTACGTTCTACCTGTTCGTTTTATTTCTATTCCAGCCAGTTTTAAAAAAGCCAAAGATATTACACGTCAGATTTTTCAAAATTAGTCTCGCATAAGCTGGACTATTGAAATGGAAGGGTTAAGAAACTCTCACTTTGTTGTGCTCCCAAACTATTTCGATCACTAGCATGTGATACTCCACAAATAGGGAATCACTGCTACGGTAATTCGGAAATCTTTTTATGGGGTTATGAATAACTTTTCAGCGAATGTTTGGTACAAATAACGACCGCATTATGTCCAATGTGTACATTATATAACCGAATTATTCGAGTTATTTTAAGCGCTTAAGTCGCAGCCAAGTTCCGTCGAACAGGGATCATTTCCGTTTCTTTGCGAAAATGTGTGTAAATTTTCTGTGGAAAATTACTCAGCTAACCTGGCTTTAATTATCTGACTCTGAACTTTATATTTGTCATTTAGAATCTGCTCGTTGATTCGTATATATTAAGCTGAAATTTTACATTCTAGCAATGATCATAACGGGATCATAACGGGATTATTCGCTCTTAAGTTCTCTACGCTAAGGGAAGTGTTATGGGTGTATTTTAATAAAAACCTTTATTATTGCCTTCAGAATAACCTCCTGAGACACAACATTCACTCATTTTTGGAGCACCATACCCTAGATTTTTGGAGAGTTTTACGGTGATTTTTATAAATCCACGTCCCACAGTAATGATGCATTTGATGTATGTAGGGTTCTCAGCTTCGTTGTCAAGCATCTCTTTGAGCCCTCTACTCGACGTCCCTCTTGCAAAAAATTTTGGCACCAGTCTAGCATTGAAACATTACCCAAAATGTTTTGAGTCGATCCGTAAGAGATGTTGAGATCCTCTGATACCAACCAACGAGGACTTTCAAGCACTGTTTTTTTTTCGATTTTATCGTCATTAACAGAGGCGGGGAAACGAACGCTTTATGCCGCTTAAATTCTGCTGTTCGTGACAAAGTAGACTTCTGAAAACACTTCCGTAACGTTTCAAACGATTACGTGGCCATAATTCCATTGGGAACACAAAATTTCAAGCAAACTCGTTCTTCAAATTTCTTTTCCATGTCAAAAATCACCACACAAAGTTTTCGCGTCGTAAACACACATAAAAAATATATACAAAGAATATTTTTTGTCGATACGGCTCACGCGAGGAGTTTAAATGTACCAGTACGGGTCAAATTTGATCAGATGGTATTACTAATATATGTTCATTAAGGTGCTAAAAAGTTGAAAGTCATTAAAGGTTATGTGCATGAGAATGCGGCTCTGAATAGATGAGTCAAAAAGATATTTAAGAAAACTAAAGATTAGTCCAATGTCGGTTATGTGTTGCTAAATGTATATATGTATGTACAATACATTGTAATATATATTGTGTATATGTCAACATACTGTAAACTACGTAAAGTATATGGTAAGAGGTATTTATATATTCGTGGTATGCCTGTAAATTCTATCGCTGTGTAAAATAACGGGAAAAATTGATGCTACCTCAGTTGGTTGGTTTCTTTTAGGCCTATGCCAGCGACGATTATTCAAATATTTTAATTTGCAATTTTTATGCGATTTATGTAAATTAATTTACAACGTTCTGGAAAGGCAAGTGTAGCTAAACGAACGCTGGCTACGCCTATTGTGGTTGTTGTATGTTGTAAATTTATAAACAGCCTATTGATGATATTTTATATTGTTGTTGTTGTTTACATGTAAAACATATGGGCAATAAAGAATTTAGGCCTATTTCGATAGGCTTTTTGCCATGGTTCATCATATAAATATTGCGTTTGTAAGGCTTAACGATCAGTGAGCTCCAAACACTTGGAGTAACATAATATTACAAGAAAAAGGAAAAGATTTATTGACAAAAGTCTATTCCTACAATTGGTAAAAAGTTAGTGTAAAAAAAAACGAATCGAGGTGTCCTTGTAGAGAGGAGTAACGCTGTACACTTCAAAGTACACCGCCGTCATGCATTTCTATAAAGTTGCCATTCTGATGCTCGGCTTAGCTGCCGTGACATTATCAGCATCAGGTAAGGAATAACTCTACACAACATTGCGCATTTTAACATTGTAATCCAAACTTTAATTTTTTTTTGTGTTTGTTTCGTGTTACATAGGTAAGCAGATTCCCAAATCTGGCGCAGAACAAAAATATCAGTTGTTTAATAGACAGCGGGTGCATGCGAGAAAACCTCTCCATGAAGAAGTCGCTAGTGGACGAGTTATCTCACAGGACTTAATTAATAGATTCACCTCATTAAAGAACCCCAGCACAACCACCACTACTGTCATTGCGACGACCTCAACACTTGTACCATCATCACCCACAACCTCAACTATTACCCTTTCGCCCGCCACACCAACGTCATTATCACCAACAACACCAACATCACCAATAACCCCAACAACGACATTCCCTACAACACCAACATCGCCCACCCCATCAACAATAACTAGCCCAACTACCACAACAGCGAATTCTACAAGCCGAATGATCGTGCGAAACCAAGCAAATTTCAATGACGACTTGGATAATGAAGATGATGATTTCCTCTTACCATTGTACCATCCGAATAGGAATCCAATTGATAATTACGAACAAGTGGAAGGAGACGACAGCGATGAAGTCAATGTAGTCGGCATTGAAGATTTGAATGACTCAGTTGAGAATATTGGTCGCGCAGCACGTGCTCGCCCTTCGAATTGGCGTCGTCGTCAGGCGCAACGACGCCTACAGCGTCAACGTCAACGCCAGCGTCGTCTAAACAGACGTCGTCGCCAGGCGCAAATTAAGGCACGTCGTCAACGTCGCCGCCGTCAACAGCATCGCCGCAGCCAAAAGAAAAGGCGTCGATTCGGTAAGAAGAAGCAGCGTCGTCATCGTCGCGGTGGCAAAAAGTCGCGTCGTTCCAACAAACGTAGACGCATTGTACGGGTAAAGGTTTAAATAATAGCGCACGATATGTAACTCAAAGGACAATGCCAGTGAAATAAAGAAACAAAATTTGAATAGTGCATGTGGAAGTTAATCTTTTATAACAAACACAGCGTTGCATAGATCGGGTCAAGCTCTGGTTGAACTGAGAACATCCTCACAGTTTCAGAGATATCTTTTTGTTATTTAGCATCATTTAATAACTGATTTGTTAGATTGGGGAAATCGGTAACATTAACTACTCCCTATTCCAATTTTGTAGATTTCCAGAGATAAGCTCTATAGATAGAAAGTCAAATAATAGACTTATGATTTTGATTTTAACTGTTTTCTATACAGAAATGTGCTTTAAAACTTACGAGGGCTGTGCCATAAGTACTTAGTCTCACCGCCCGTTCGTAAAGAATTTTAGGAGTTATTGTTTTAATCGAACTCACAGTTTTGTTTTGACACGTGAGAAAGCGAATGCTGAGCAATTTAAGGAAAAATCTAAAAAAAATGTCATTGTTGTATTAAAGGGGTGCTAGGTGAGTTGGTTTCATGGGACATGCAAAGAGGTGGTTAGAGTCATACGGGGACTCATTGCATGCAGGGCAAGAGTTTAACCTGCTACTGTATCCATAATGATGTTATTTCTGCGATATAATCCTGTTTTGTTTGTTAAGTATTATAAAATATAATATGGGTCGGTGATTCGATTCTTGTTTATGGAAGATTGACTTTTTTGAATCATCTTCAATTTGGGCATACTTCTGTTTGTGATGAATCAAGAATGGGTGCCACGAAAGCGACTGCCACGAAGTATAATTTTACAGAATATTGGAAATCAGAAAGCTTTCTGTGAGTGCCACATTTGCACACACACTAGATAACAAGTGCAACCGTGTGACCACTGTCACTGCCACAGAATAGTCGACGAACCTTCTCTCAAAAAGGGGAAGACTGTCTCATCAGACGGAAAGGTCATGATCACTGGTTTCTGGGATTCACAAGACTTACAGCAATTACCTGTAGAAGGGAATATGGCCAAAGAGCTTCGCTGAAGCGATTTGAAGCTGAATTGTAGAAAAACGGATAGAATTCTTTCCACATTTTTTTAGTGTAATTTATTTTTAATTTCAAACCATGTTGCTGGATTCTAACTTCTTCTCGTAATTATGTTATCTTCAAAATGTTAACAAACTCTTAACTAGAATGTAACTGTGTAACCACGTTTGGCATCCATGCGAACAGATCGAATATCAAGTATTCAATGATTGCTTTGGAGAGCCACTATTGAGACTAAAGCTTTAGGAGAGTAAAATGTACAAATTAAGGTTTATTATATTCACTCGAGACTTAAAGAATTTCGCTATCAAGCTGCTCATTTATTGGACATAACATTAAACACAGTTAGAGGAAAGAGAAAGAATTCTAACGGTTTTTAATATTTTTTGTAAGCCATTTGTAAAATAATCAAAAAAAAATAATAATTTTATACACTAGCATGTTATTTCGCATTATGTTTTGTTCGTGTTCATCGGTACAATGACTGTCATGCAAATTTGATGCAAATTGTTTTTTCTAAACTGCTACTAATATGTATATTGGATCTTGTATCTTGTTTTTGCAAATTTTTTGCGAATTTCTTTGCACAATCTCTCCTTTCTGTTTACGCCTCTATACCAGCGGTTAAGAGTGAAACAATTATTCTGCATGTATATTAACATCTTATGTTCTGAGCAACAACAAATATGACTATAAACATTTGGTTTAATTAACTATAAACTATTAGAGAACCCCTGCGATCTGTATTGCTAGCAGCACATATAAAAGTCCCTCCGATATAAACCGAAAGATGCAGTTCACCTTAGTTAGTTGAATTCAACAGTCGAAAGGGATACTTCGAGCGTTGTTACAAGTAATTTTAGCAATTGAGCAATTTTCCAGATGCAGCTCACCTGGTCACGTTCATTACCAGTGTTGCTACTGATCGCGGCAGTGGCACTGGAAACAGTCGGTAAGTGGTCGCTAGTTTGTTCATAATTTTCCTTAGATACATATTTTTTAATACATTATAGCTTCGCGAGATACCGACTATGGAGCTAATAACGGCAGATATAGAATTTTTCGCCAACATCGTCGCTCAGTGGCTAAAGACGAGGACATTTTGCCTTCCGGTCGATTTGTAACACCCGAGTTTTTTAACAGAGTGAAGGGTCAACCGCAAAGCAGTCCATGTGAAACATCTGTCGAAACTATCCCAATTCATGTTGATCTCAATGAACCTGATTATTATTCTCATGATTCGTTTGATTACCCTACAACTCCAGTTATAACCGCAACTAGCACTGAGCCAGAATCTAAAACTACAACTACACCTGCGCCAGCAACAACAACTACGCCCGCACCGGCTCGTAATCCAGTTTATATTGAATTCCATGATGATTATGAATATGATGATGATGATTATGACAGTACCAACGACCTTTACAGTAATTATAGTGATAACGAAGTTGACAACGACGATGACGATGACAACGAAAATTACGATGATGATCGTACAGCGATCAATGCTAAACAACGTGGGTTCAGCCAAAGGCAATTCGGTAACGGTCTAGAAAATTCGGTTAGTCAGCCAGAGTCTTTCTCAAAGGAACCCGACAATGCCACGCCAATTGATTATAATGTCGGCAAAGCAGCACGACAACAATCACAAACGGATTATCAACGACGACGAAATCGTCAACGACGCCGTCGTTTACAACGTAGGCGCGCAGCTGCCAGAAGGCGTAGACGTAGAAATCAACGTCGCCGTCCACAAAGCTTACGTCGACGACGTAGACCAAGCCGAATTCGTCAACAAGTCGTTGTACGAAGGCGCTATAACAGAAACAGTAGACGTCGAACAACAAGTGCACCAAGTATACCTCTACCAAACTTTATTCGATTACCTACGAATAAGTGAACATAAAATGTAATATCGATAGATGTGGAAAACGTTTAAAATAAATAAACTATATTATTTACAACAAAATCTTTCACTGTTGTCACTTTTGACCAACTATCTTCTCACGAGCTTTATGAAAAGCTTGAAAAAATTTTTAGTAAGATTCCAACATTCATTACTCGTCGAAATTGTAAATCGATTACACTATTGTTTGTCGTCATAATAACTAATGTTTGCTTGTATTATAGTCAATAGGCTCACTCATAGTAATTTATTCACTACATTTTACCTCGATTAAATTTAATGTATTGGGTATATGAGGAAAACGTGAACTAGAGAATCGGAAATCATTACATTATATGAAATTTAGACCAAGGTCTAGACCGATTTCACTCATACAGTCGGATGTACGGTCAGACAATCACCTGGAATTCAACACGCCTTGTCATCCGGATCATTTAGTTATATGTATATATAACTCGATATCTTTTTAGGTGTTAGAAACTAGCGTTAGGTGAACAAAACTTGTATACTCTGTTATATAATTAGTGTATAAAAATATTCGCGGAAAGATATATGAGTGCTAGCTCATAGTCTGGATCTATTTTATTTATTATTAAGTGAATTAGAATAACAAGAAAATTCGTTAACTTCAGTTGTACCGAAACTATAACATTCTTCACAAATACGAATGATTCCTTACAGGAACGTAAAGCCGATCGTTCAGTTTTTTTGGCAGCTATATACTATAGTGAACCGATTTTTTTGAAGGTTGCATTATAGCCTTAGACGACAACCCTTGCCAAATTTCGTGAATATATCTCGTCAAACCCCAAAATGCCATCGTTCAGTTTGTATGACAGCTATATGCCATAGTAGTCCGATTTCGGCAGTTCCGACAAACAATGAACTTCTTGGTGAGAAAAGGAAGTGTGCGAAATTTCAGGCCGATATCTGAAAAACTGAGAGACTAGTTCACGTATATACAACGTACAGACGGACTGACAGACCTTATCATGCTAAACATTTATTTTTGCTAAGTTCTATTTCAATAGCTTTATCTGTGCATTCTTTATCTGTTGCCAAGTATCTTAACCCGATGAATTTAAAATGGTGGCATATAATATATATATAAAGTGGGAGTGGTTAGCATTTAATTTGATTCAAATCGTGTGTTAAGACATAATATTTCACCAAAGTGGGGTCAGTGCAACGCCCTTATCTTGGTCTTACATCGATTAATATGAAACCTGCTTTTCGAACGGGATTTATAGCACTTAAAGTATTTTTTTAAGAGAAATATACGTTGTTATTATCCGATTTCACGCACAAGGTTGTTTGATATAATTTTAGTAGTTCTGGTTATCACCTGCATGTACAGACATAAGTATGGAATTCAACTTGTTTCGTCATCCTGTTCATCATTTTGCTATTGCTGCTTAAAAGTTTGCATTTTCAATGCGAACACGACAACGGAACATTGAAAATATTGCAGAAGTATTTTGGCACAAATCATTTAGTGAAGGGTGTGAAGTCGTTTAAAAATTGATTCATACCGGTCGTCCATCTGGCTCTGTTTATGACGATAAAGTCGAAAAAGTTAGAGAAACGGCGCTTGAAAATTGTGGTGTGGCCATCATCTATTATGTTTTCATTCATGATTTTGATTATAGTTTGGGTATAAAAAGGCCATAAAATAGTTGCTTAGAAAGTGCTCCAAAAATGAGCCGCAACCGAAGAACCAAAACTCGTATTTTTAGTTTCATAGCTGCATATTCTGCAGATGATTGGCCGTCTGGAAGTCCAGTACATTGGACTACGGTTTGTGGTCAGAAGTGAAAAACATGGCCTGTCGAAGACACACACAGAAATTTGGAAGGTCTCAAAATAAAAATAATTAGTTCGAGCAGCGTTGTTAGTACCAAAAAAAATTTATCATTTGAGTTTATTAATTAAAATTAACTTTATTAAACTATTATCAGAACTACTGGAAGGCATCTCGTCTTCTTGTTGGCTTCTCACAACTTATCTTCTAATTTAGACAAAATAACACAAATCTGGTATGACTAATTACCAATGGTGCTTGATTAAACGGTATAGCCAATGCATTCAAAAAGAAATATATTAGAAGCAAAGTATAAAAGTGGAAAGAGCTACATTGCTAATACAAACAAGTGGCTTTCCATCGAAATACTAATATTTTTGCTCATATCTGAGTTAACCAACCAGTGACCGAACATCCTCAGTCTCTACAGTTTGTCGAAGTTGTTGGTAAGTCGCTTTTTAATAATTAATATTGATACAAAACTATATTTCCAGTCACATATCAGTAAAAGGATAAATATCAACTCTTTCGTGGCTTTAGAAAGCGAATACGACCAGCTCTCGGTCGTCGCAAAAATAATGATGAAATGGTCTATGAAATTAAACATATACGTAAAAGTGTGTAGGACGAAAACGATTTTATACCTTATACGGCTAAAAACGCTGCTGACTTTGCAGACAATACAGAGCACACAAAGTCGGCGAGACAAAAATAAGCTTGTTAAGAGCCAACAGAGGCTCCTCAAACAAAAAGTGAAAGATCAAGAGTTAAGATAAGGCTGAATAAATAATTGCATTACTTTAGAAAATAAGTTAAATTTAGTTAATAATTACACTGGGCTACTCTGGTTTTGTTGCTTTAGACATAAGCTCGATTTAAATACATTTTAGCGAGCAATTCGTGAAACTATTATTGATTTTGCTCTCGTTTATATTAATTTTAATTTATTTTTTCATTTTATATCACAAAAATCGGAAAACATGAAACAAAATCATTAATATCTTCATAATGTTAGTTTAATATGACAAACAAGGACACTATATATTTTCTACATTTCTATAACGCTCATTATATGAGCTCTTATCTTTATAATTTCTCAGCAGTCATCTGCCATCATGTGACGATCTCGGCGACCATGGTTCCACCGCCTTCTTGTTACTCACTATAATTTCCTAAATTATACTTAAATTTATCCAAATAAATGCGGATATAGTTAAACTTGTTACTCGTATTTGCTTCTAGAATCTGAAGGTTGTTAGCGTATTTTGCACAATTTCTTTATAATTTGATGCTTTACAGTGCCAAATGAAACTCACTTTCCGAATCAGTATAACTTTGATAAAATCTGCATCTTTCATTAATTGCAGTGTTTGAGGACCATTAAATACTCCACCCTTTGACGTTTTCTTAATAAGCTGTGGACATTTTCTACAAATATATTTAAAACAATATCCTTCCTTGTCCAACGCTTTGAAAAATTGCTTCATCATTCTTACCTTGATATGTCATGGTCGAAGTGTGATTTTTTCTCTATTTTGGTTTAACCGGCATTTAAAGAATTGCCTATAGGTCAAAAATCTTGCTTTTAATAAGCTACTTAGGTCCACTGTCTCACATTCAAATGAAGCAAGGGCACTTCGTGTGTACATCTGTTCCCTATTCGCACTAAAAAATTGCATTAACTTACTTTCTTGCGAAAGAAATGGATTTCGTTTTTCTAGACCTGCTACATATGTTAACAGTTAACATTCAGTACATAAAACAAAGTATTAACACATGGCAATTTGCACAGATGTGTAAGTAATATTGAAGATATTGTCAAATAACTGAGTTCCGAGGTGCTCTGCTGGGGTATGCGGAAGGGGAACACATGATGTTTTTATGCACGAAAAAGGTGCGCAGAATCCTTATCATGACTGGAAAAATATATGTTATAACAGAAGTCGATAATTGATCAAAATATAAGATATGCAATGGTCATGAAAACAAAAGCACGTTCAATATCTTCATTAAAAATTCGTGATCTGGCAACTGAATGCATCAAAATTTGTTAATATATTTGTTTTTTTAGAGCTGTATTATTATACTATTATTATATGATGACAAGTTCTCGAATATTTTTCCTAATCTGTAAATATCTTTCTGCCTGTTTTTCGGACGGACCTGAGCGTTCCAAGACCTTTTCGAGAACGTTGCGAGGCTAATTTTAATATACATTCGTCTTGACAGAAGTTTTCTCACAATAAATTGAGACTACTCACTGTAATTATTTTAAATATGTTCAATCTGATATTACGTAATTCAAATAACGGGTAAAAGTAACTTTTGAGCAGAAAAAGTACACCTAAGCCATTAATTTTTCTTCTGAAAGTGACAGTGCTGCATAGTTTGCTATTCGGTTGTTTCAGCACATTTTCGTTTATGGGACCAATGCATCGTTTGGTTTATTGTTGGTATTAATATGTCTCGCTTAGTGTTTTTTGATGTGACGGAAGAAAGTGGGGTTTTACTTTTGTGATTTTTATGTTTATATTACATATCGCAAAGATAAAAAAACTCACCAAAGCCGATATTGCTAAAAATAAAGCATAGTAAGAGAAACAAGTAAGGAAGTGCTAAGTTCGGGTGTAACCGAACAGTAACTTGCATCAATCAAACCCCGGAAAATTCATGTAGGTGCTAGCAAGTTTTTTTATAATAAAATGTTGCGAAAGAATTCAAAATTTATTATTCAAAGAAATCGTGAATAAATAATAATAAAATTTTGGTATCTTTATGCCTTATATTGAAGGCCATTAACTTAAACTTAGTTTTATTGCTATAAACTCGACCAAAGAGGCTAAATTTAATATTTATTGAGTTAATGTGGAAAACGTCAACAAGAGGATCGGTATTCTTTATATTATATAATATTAAGGATATTTAAGTTTAGATCAAGGTACAGACCGATTCCATGCTAATTCACAGCTAAACCACATAATTATTTAGAAAACTTATCCATTTAATTTCCATAAAATATTTTATTTTGACTGACCTGAACGAGCTGATTGAATTAATTTGGAAATTGCTCAGCCATACTTGACAATGCATATCAAGCAATTTTTAAATATATTATATAACACACACTGAACGAAGAGAATATTCGGCATAAACGTTGTTAGAAAAACGAAAGTTATTATATGTAGTATATGGGAGTTGGAAGTATTTTAGCCAATACCACATTCTAGTAACATGCCACATACTAATAAAATTCTCCCTGGGTTTGATTAAGGTACCTCACATACCATCACCAATCTATATGGAGTAAAGTCAGCCGGATGTTCGAAAATTCTGATATTAATTATATTGGGGCTAGGTCAAGTTTTCACCCGATTTTATCCATTTTAGCCAAATGATACACTGTTATTAGAAAAGCACGAATTAACATCTCTCATTTTCATTGAGATAACTCACATATTGGCCGATAAGTCACCTGAAAGTTCGAAAATCTTTATATTTGCTATATCTTTCAATCCATTTTTGGCAATTAAATGTATATTTTTCAGGAAAGAATTCTTTCCGAACTCCAATTATATAAGTTCCACAGTAACCAATATTAATGGTGCCTAAGGGCTTGAACAATTTTGGTTCGATTTGTACAATTTTCGGTCACTAAATTACATAATTTAAAAGAATTATTCGTGCAAAGTTTTGCCCCGTTATATTAATTGGTACTTTATATGTATACTCGAATGTGAAAGAATCAGATGGAATTTAAAGGTGTGTTATATGGAAAGCAGGCATGATTTAATCCCATTTCCTCCATTTTCATACTGTAACATAGGTATATTAAAAGAATGTTATGTACCAAATGTGGTCGAGCAGGTCCAGTGATATGTGATTTCGCTTAAATGCGGGCGGTGCCACGCCCATCGTCCAGTTTTGATGTCTGATCCTATAGATCCCTCCTGTGCCATACTTGCTGCAAAATTTAATGATCCTGACGCATTCAGTTATTGATTTATTGCACTTTTAGTAGTTTTAAATCAAACCGTTACATGGGGAGTGGGCGTGGTTATCATCCGATTTCATCTATGTTTACACTATCAGAAGAAGGTCTGGAAAATTTTGTCATGTGCAAATTTGGTTGATATAACTTGAATGGTTTGTGAGATATAAGTTAACACGCGTTTTGTTAATTTCTGACCAATAAATGCTGACTTGACATTTGGGCCGACTTTTGATCAATACCAAAAATCGCTACTGGCTGTGTCAACAGCAAATAATAAAATAACTTGTAAACAGGAAACTTTTCATAACTTACTTTTGTAAAATCAGCGTCTAATACATTTAATAAACTTGTAAACAGGAAATCGAATTCCTATTATTTTTGCTAAATTTATTAAGAATACTTTAGTAAGCAATTTATCATAGTTGTAAGTAGTATAAAAGTCAATCAATTAAAAATGTTAATTTAAGTTCTATACTGTCCGAATAAAAACAAAATACCTTTTTTTTAGTCCCTATAACTTAAAGGGACGTAACTTATATACATTAAACCTATTAGGGTGCGGAGCCATGAACACTTTTTAAAATATTATTATTGCAATTCATTGTACTACATTACAGTTTTTTATCTTAACTTCCGGCTTAGTTATCGTAATTTATAAGTTTTCGATTAATAGAGTTTTGTTGGCATGTTAGATTATATACTCTGTAGCAACATGTTGCGAGAGACTTAAACCACAAACTTCATTCTAATGGCAAAAGGAGGAGGGGTAGGCTTTTCTTTTTTGATTTACCAAAATAGGAGAAATTTGTTTCTGAAACATTCAGTGCTTATAGTAATTTGTTCTTTGAACAAAGAAAATGTCACAAATAAAAGTCGATTTATACGAATATGCATATTAAATTAAAGTTTATTGACTATAACACAACGGTCTGTATATTTTCTTTTAGAACATAGTGTTTGCTATTATTTACTATTTTATCACGTTCTTATTTGCCTTAATTGTTTTTGCATTTTATTTCGGGTTCTTTATGTCACCTTCTTTTTGGTTGGTTTTGGTTTCGATAAAAAGTTCTAATCATACTTTTTTGTTTTTGTGTTTCTTTTCGTTTTTTTACATTATTACTTTTTTATGATACTTACTAGTATATTCCAATAATCTTTTAATGTGTGTATGTATATATATGTATAGTTATCAATTAAACTCCAAGTTTCAGTGATTTCATAATTTTTGAATCTTTCGTCTGCTATTTTGGCTGTTTCCTTTAAGTATATATATAATTATTTTAGTTACTAAACTAGCGACCAAAATGGCTGAATATTTATGACTATCATACTTATATAAACCGTGACTTAGCCATTCGCGCCGCTCAGTTGATTGCGACCATTGATCGGAGTAGGGATTTTCATAAGCAAACGCATTAAGCCTTTTCTAATTCTTCACTAAAAAAGTGTATATTGAAAGAGAGCAATGCAGTGCTTTAAGTGGAGTGTGGTTTTATTTTTGATAACAGAACTTCATTCGTGTGGTAAGTTTCATTTTATATGTATTTCTTGTATTTTTTAATGCAACTCTGTTTTATATTATTTTTCCATAGTAAGCCATCCACTCGGCATACGCATCGCTCCACTGGTCAAACAACACGAATCGCTTCAAGATAGTGAATTTGATGATTATGAGCTCGATGATGAAGTTGATAGTGAATCACGTGCTGATGATAGCCATGATAGAGCCGATCACTTGCTCAATGACAATATGAGGAATAATGATGACTTTTATGAGGACTACGACGACGCAAACGATTTAGGCGATAATGTTAACGATGAAAATGACGATGAAGTATTTAACGATAGTGATGATGATCATCACAATGAAGTTATTAAGGGGAATGATGTCGAGGACCATTCTTCAAATGAGGACATAGATCGAATACCTGGTTACCGACCTGATGTAGCTTTGACAAGTCCGTTGGAGTATTATAATTAAACTATATGAAGACTATACTTTATGAGTAGTGAATGCACTGAAATAACAGAAATTATTTATTTTCTTAAGTTAGTTGTAATAAACTTTATGTATGGTTGTAATGTTTGTATGTATAAAGGTTTAATATTAGAATTAAAATCAAACATTTGCAAACATTTTGTATTCTTTGGAATTTGCATACATAATACCAATTTTTTATATACAGAACAATTACATTTTTTTTTATACTCTTGCAACATTTTGCTAGTTTTGTTCACCCAACGGTTGTAAGTGCCACTTAAAACTAATCCAGACAGATAAAGGGTTATACATACACATATATAAATGATGAGGATGACAAGACGAGTTGAGATCCGGGTTGACTGTCCGCCCGTTTGTCCGTGCCACTGTAACTTGAGTAAAAATTAAGATATCTTGGGGAAATTTGGTACACATGTTCCTTGACACCATAAGAAGTTTGGTATTATAGATGAACTTAAATGGACCCCTGCTACGCCCACAAAATGCCATTAATCGAAAACCTATAAAATGACATAAATAAGCACTAAATTATACTTGTAATATAAACCTGTAATTTAGTACAGAGAGTTGCATTGGGAAGGGGCATCTATGATTAAAACAAAATTTCAAAATGGGCCTGGTCCTGCCAGCTATTAAGTTTAATGTATTTATCTTCTAAGTCATTCGAGCTAGATTATCAAGATTTGCACAAAATAAATACTTTGGACTCCTTCTGCGATGAAATTGGATGATAACCCCTTCCACTCTTCATATAACGGTTTTGCTAAAAACTATTTAAAGTGCGATAAATCAATATATAATTGCGTCAGAATATTAAATTTTACATCTGGGAGGGAAAAAGGGTGTCATTTAGCATCCGATGTCAAAATTATACGATGGGCGTGGCACCCACACATGTAGATGAAATCACATATCTCCGGAACTACTTGACCAATTTCAACCAAATTTAGTACATAGGACTATTTTAACAGTGCCATGTTACAGTGCGACAATGGGCGAAATTGGCCTACTTCCCATACAGCATTTTAAAATCCATATTATTCTTATAATTTCCAGTATATAAATCAAGCACTAATGATTATATCAGAACAAAACTTTGTACAAATAATACCTTTGAGGTATACAAAGTCTAAAAATTATCAAAATCGAACCATAACTGGTCAAGCTTGGTGCTAATTTATTACCGTAAATAACGGTTAATATTTGAGATACATGATTTCAATTGGGAGAGAGTATTTTTCTGATAATAGTATGCATGCAAATAAAATTAAGTGGATGTATTTTCCTTAAAATGAGTAAAATCGGGTTAAAACTTGCCCTAGCCCCCGTATAACTGAACACAGAATTTACCAACATCCGGTTGATTTTTCTCCATATATGTTGGTTATAGTATGGTTGCCAAAAATAAATTAAATCGGGTCAATACCACCCATATCTTTCACATATGTAATATAAAGTTTTCAAACCTCTGCTCTTATACCATAAACAAGGTGTCAAAAAGTAAAAGTAAAAAGAATGTATTCAAAGTATTGACCATTGCTTTTTACACATTTTGACCACCTTTCTGGTAATTTGTGGATATCATGCCAATAGAAATGTTCGTCTTTTAAAGCAAACCAAACAGACACTAAATTTTCGACTTCTGCGTAGGAATCGAAGTGCTGCTCAGCCAATGCGCGTCCCATCGATGAAAACAAATGGTAATCGGAAGGTGCCAAGCCTGGTTAATACGGCGGGTGAGGTAGCAGCTACTATTAAAGTACTTTGATTGTATCCTGAACCGATTTTGCTTTGTGTGTAGGTGCATTGCCGTGTGACAAAAAAAATTTCCCGTGTCTCCTGGCCCATTCTGGTTGTATTTCGATCAGTGCATGTTTCAAATTGATCATTTGTTGTCTATAGCGATTAGCATTAACAGTTTCATGACCGAAGTTTCTGATCCCACCAAACACAGAGCATTGCCTTTTTATCGATCTGCAAAGATGTTTAGTATTCTTAAAACAAATCCATTTTTCATCGCCAGTGACAATTCGATGCAAAACTGATTTTCTTTCATGTATTTGAAGAAAAATTTCACACGTTTTTTTCGTTTCTCCATTTGTCTTTAATTCAATTCATGTGGCACCCATTTTCTATACTTTTGGATCATTCCCATAGCTTTTCAACGGTGTGAAATTGTTAGTTGCGCAACATGGCTGCCATTTGCTTTTGACTCAAAGTATCATCTCCATTCAATAATGCTGCAAGCTTCGGCGTCTTCAAACTTTTTTGGTGGTGGTCTTTCTCGTTCTTCATTTCTCACATCAAAATCATTATCCCTGAACCGTTTAAACCTTCTTTTGCATTTTGCTCAATGACTGTACGGTTATTGAAAAAGATTGTCAGATATCATAAGTACATAGTAAAAAGAAAAAAAAATTAAAAAAAAAAAATATTTTTATTATAGTTTAATGCCAAAAATATGTAAATTTAGTATACGAATTACCCCAATTCCCAAATACTACTATATTGATTTTCATTATTCTAACAACCTTGTGCCAAACATGTTGTTCAATGTGTGAGTTATATATTTATAAAATTGCTTGAAAATATGATCTTAAGTGTACCCATCCCTCTTTCTGTCCTCAATACAGCCCGTATAATAATTTCCGACTTTCCACCTGACAAAATGTGTGATACTTTAATAAAATTAAATGAACCAGTTTTTTTAAAAATTGTGTGGGAATATGAATGAAATTGGTCTAGACTTTGACTCAACCTTATCATGTATCCTCTGGTTGACGTTTTCACATCAACTCATTATATTAAGTTTAGCTTCTTCATTTCTACATTTTTTTAATATTACCATCGCCTGATGATATTTCCTTATACAATATATGTTATAAGATTCATTAGAAACATGTAAGCAAGGGCTAAGTTCGTTTGTATCCGAACATTTTATACTCTGCAACTTGCAGGAATCAAAGGTCTACAGGTGCTGGCAAAACTTTATATTTAAAAAAAATGTTACGAAAGAATTAAACATTTATTATTCAAAGAAATCGTGAATAAATTACTATCAAATTTGGTATTTTATATCTCATATCGGACGAACATAACATATAGCTGCCATGCAAATAGACCGATCAAAATCCAGACAAAGAACTTTTGTATACTCTTTTATATTCTCGTATAAAATGCAACTGTTAAGGGTATTATAGCTTCGGAGCAGTCGAGCTTAACGTTGTTTCTTCTTTTTATTGCCGACGAATACTCTCTTAAAATGAAAAATGGTAGACCAGTGAAATTTCGAATGATATGAGTAGGCATTTGCACCATATGTAATATTTCCTTCTTTCTTTTGAATTTCTCCGCTTTTTCTTGTACTTGTGCGCATGCGTGAATTTCACTTTTTCATTTCTGCACTTTTATAATTTCTGTGCGAGGTTTCTTCAATTACCTCAAGTGGTTTATGCATTCAGGCGTTACTTTGTTGAACTACATATATATCTTCAAACGTACGTATGGGCATGTAAAGGTTTGTTAGATTTACAAACAAGGGGCTGGTGACTTGTTGTTATTGCTTCATTTTGCCTTTTAATGCTGAACGTGGAGAAAAGGTAAACAGCAATGAATGGTTCGCATTTGAATATTTTGCACGCATTTCGGCACATTTGTAATGAATTTCGTTCGAAAGCTACTCGCATGTGCGTCGCTGTCATTGCTGATAATTGCTAGATGAGCTGTTAAGGGGGTAAAATATACAAAGCCCTTATTGTTGTTGTTGCTGTACACATTGTAGCTGCGTACTAAGCAAATACCTGGTGGCAATCTAACTGTTTTCGTTGCACGCTTTTTATTTTCCAATAAAGCAAATTTTTTTCTTCTAAGCGTGTATACAGGCGTTACCCACTTAAAGTGCTAGCCTAGCAACATTCATGTGTGCTATGTAAGATCCACTGTTACGTTTCATGTAACTAGACGCCGTAAATGCTCGGTCATTGCTCATGTGATCACTTGCTCAATGGCATATCGATTTTTCTAAGCTGTCGTATAAAAGCGGCTCCCTTGGCCAGATAATCTATCAAAGTTCAATTAACTTTCTTACTGATCACACCCATTGGAAAGTTCTTTTACCGTACGGCACAGGAAAAGTAGTTCCAAATGAAGTATAACGCACTCATATTTGTCCTTTTGGCTACCTTGGTGCTGTGCGCACAAGCTGAGCCCGAACCGGAACCCAAGCCAGAGCCAGAACCCGCCAAAGGTATGTACCAATGCAATACGTTTAATATATATATTAATACAAATCATTATTTTCTAGGGCAACGCGCTGTTTTCCCAAGCTTCCGTTCCGTCGCTGATGTGAAAGAAGCTCGCAATGCTGAAAATATTGAGGATGAAAGTGACGTCGAAGCCGAAGTCGATGCGAGTGCTGATGAAAACGCCACACCCAATAAGGGTGCTAATGCATCAAGCGGTCGTTTGTTTTTGAAGAAATTCTTACTCTTCAAGAACATGTTCGGTCAACAACAACAACAGCCCGTCATTCCCATTGTTATCGCCGGTGGAGGTTCAGGAACTTCACCAACTGCTAGCACTTCACCCACCTCCACTACAGTCACCTCCACAGGTTCCATACCAACAGCAACCGGTACAGTCAGCACCTCACCCACAACATTATCTCGTGCCGATGCACTCAAACGTCATGAGGAGCAGGCGTTGGAAGACGCTGCTGCCGCGGTGGACGAACAAGAATTGCAGGCCGCGCTCGCTGTCGGCGCCCAAGAATATGTAGTGACAGATCAGGAGATTCGTGGCACATCCGAATCTAAGGCCACCAGAAATCCGGCACGTGTCAATTTACGTCGCCCTGGTGCTAAGAAAGGTCAATTGGTGACTGTTCGCATACCACCAAAATATCGTAAATATTTCAAGAATGGTCAGAAAGTAATGTTGAATACCAGCAATCGTCCCGGTAAACGACGTGTGGTGCAAAAGAAACGCATCAATCGTGTGCGCAGGCGGAAGGGCGGCAAAAGACGTCGCGTCCAGAATTAATTTGAGGCAATCAATGTATTCTACATACATACATATGTTTAATGCTATAGAAAGGAAACAAAAGCTTGCATCGTAGTTTATTATGAAACGCTCTTGAAATGTTGCGATTAACTTATTTATTATTTTGCATTGAAACTTAAATAAAATAACATTTTTAGAGTAAAAGCGGAGTCTAAGTTCATTGTGATTAATATTTTCGTTATGTCGTTATGTATAAATCTTATCAAAGGCATAACGGAAGTGTTTCGCTTTTTTTTTCTGAAACTTTTTTTTGTAAATTCCAACCACCGAGAAAGGCGTTTCCTAAAATATGACTTATAGCTCTTTTTAAATTTTTGTTTTTATGCTTTCTACTTGACCTGATTAAGTCCGCATCAAATATGTTATTATTTTATGAAGTGTAATTTGTATTGCTTACCTGGAATATTTTTCTTGGATATAATTAGATTGATATTAAGATTACGGTTAGTTAAATGTTTCAGTCTCAAACAACGCAAAATTAAAACAACTAAAATTTTTTTGTGTTTTACAACTTACAACTAATTTTAGTTGAAATTGTACTGATATGGCCACCTTAAAATAGATGACATTTCAAGTTATTTATTTACCCAATTGTTGTCAGATTTTAATGTTATTGACAACCGTACTAGAAAGTTGTAACAATTCAACTCTTGACCTGTAAAGCGTGAAATGATATAAATCGTCATTGTTTTCTTGCCTTGACTTTCAATAATTTTCGGTTGGTATCAACGGCAGTCAAGGCCGGGTGCAAGAATTTTAGGGTGACATTTTGGCCAATTTTCTTTACGTATGTTATTTAGTTGTTAGAAATGCAAAAAAAAATATTGTATAATTTTCATCAAAATTGTAGAAACAACATAGATTATAAACAAATATTAGTAGAGGCAAGTGAATTATCAGAAGCAAGAAACATACCATTAACATTGCAATCGGAAACCATACCAGTTTGCTTGAGGAAACACAAAAGACAGTTCAATTACGAGAGGGAAGATGAGCCAATTCGTTATGCTAAGCCATTTTAAAATAAATTTCTATTTTGCCATTATTGAAATATACGATCAGTTTCAACAATTGGGATTTTTATTTAATATTAATCAGCTGCAAACTTTTACACACACAGCCATTTTTGAACATTGTAAAAAAGTGGAAATGTGATTAACGGTGAACTGACAAATATATATGCAACAGATTTATGCAACGAAGTACAAGCAATTGTCATAAAAATTGCTCATAACAGTATACCACTGAACGTTTTAAACTATATTTGTTCATGCACTGTGCCGGTGGTTAGTAAAGAGGGCAGTTTCTCTAAATTGAATGTTATCAAACCCCACCTGCACTCTTCAATAACTCAAGAAAGACTGGCAGGCTTGGAAACATTATCAATTGAAAATTAAGTGGTAAACCTAATATGTATATTAGCCTCTGTATAAAACATTGTTGTTCTTTAGCAAATTATCGCACTTTAAGTAGTCTTTTTCTACCAAATTTTGTTAAGATAGTCTACAGCTGGCTTTATACTTGCATTGAATATTTTATAAGATGGTGCGAATTGACCTTTTTAAATGGCATCTGTATACCCCTGCGGTTTATGTCCCTCTGTATTTCATTCAACGTAATATAAGTTCATTCATTTATTTCATTAAATTCATATTCATTGTAAACATTTGAAGGGCGCGACAACAATAATATTCCGCCTATAACAATATTGTCAATAAATGGGAAGAACATGATTGCCAAGTTCGAGAAATATATTTAGATTTATATTTACTTTCATTTTATTTGCATTCATTATTTTATAAACTACAAAGAACCAGTTGGTTGACAAAAGTCTGTGCAATATGTGTGAAAAGCATAAGGAGTAACTGAATGCAGCAACAGGTTGGATATGAAAGTTTTCTAATTCACTTTCCTTCTAAAGTATTAAATGATATTAAACAAAACACAAAAAACGTTAACTTCGCCTGCACCGAGAATATAATACCCTTCACAGCTGCATTTTTTAGAGCATAAAGGAGTATAAAAATACATTTATCTAGATTTTGATCGGTCAATTTGTATGACAGCTGTATGCTACACAGAGCATTGCCTTCTTACCGAATCGATTTGTTTTTGCAGTCGACGTTGATGGTTGTCCCGGATTAACCCATGATTTTCTCAATTTACGATCCTTAAAATAAATCCATTTTTAATCACCAGTGACTGTTCGATGTAAAACTAATTTTCTTTCTTGTCTTTGAAAAAATTTCACAAGGGTCTTTCATTCAATTCATGAGTCACTCATTTTCCACACTTTGGATCCTTCCCTAGCTTTCAAACGATGTGAAATTGTTTGTTGTGCAACATGGCTGCCATTTGCTTTTGACTCAAAGTATAATCTCCATTCAATAGTGCTTGCAGTTCGGCGTCTTCAAACTTTTTTTTTGGTCTTCCACGTTCTTCATTTCTCCCATCAAAATCATTATCTGATCATGAACCGTAATATTTTTATTTAAACACATTACATTGTATTTAAACACAAACATTGTATACTAATATAAAATCTAGTAAACATAGCGATTTTAAATTTCAATGAACATAATTTTTTTCATTTCATTTTATTTATTACTACACAAAGTCGAGTAACGAAACCAATTCCTGTATTTTGTACTTCTAAAAAATCTAAAATCAGGGATGCCATCTACCTTTTTAAAGCAAACTGCGATTACTAATCATACGAAATACAAAATACTAAGCCATGGTTAGTACTACGGAAATAAATGTTAAAGTGTTGTATTGTTTTTAAGTTTTCAGCACCTATAGAAGGAAAGCAAACATAACATTGAATCTTGTTGCTGTTTTTCTCCACCTCTACCCGATCAATGCGCCTGGTAATTAGTAAATAAATAAAATGAAGCTTTCACAAAATAAAAAATTTGTTAACATTTAAATTTCCTAACTAAAGTATTCTGCAAGCTTTTGCTCATTATCATACTTGCCCTTAACCGGCCTATAGTGATATTTTTTTATATGTATTGTATAAGCGTATCTCTCAGAATACTTCTAGAACTTTATCAAAAATATGGTTATAATAGAGCAATTTGGTAAATTTTTCGTCTACTTAATTGAGTCGATTGCTACTTAAGTCCATCAGAAAAGTACGTTCACATTAAATATAGGTCAACAGCCACCATTACATATGCTTAAAATATATTGTTTCATAAGTGATTGAAATGAATAAGATTGCATACATCCACGCATTCATATACACAATCTTTATATAAGAAGAACGTTGAATAACCATCAAACAGTGGCCAATTTTTGACAGCTTATTTACACAAGTGAAATAGGTACATGAATTGTTACATCTACGAGTACGAAATTTGTATGTAAAAAGATCGAGACAAGTGGCTGATTGAGTACTTAAACTACCGGCATAGAACATGATTTGCAAAAAAATTTATAGAAAATCATTTATTGAAGTTCTATAAATTTCTGTAACCTTTCTGTTCGATTCTCAATTGAAAACGACTACTAAAGGTGAATGGAACCAGAAACAGTGGCAATCAATTAAAAAATTTTAATAAAAAATTTTAAAAACAAAATGTTCAAAAGACATTGTGCATCACTTTTATTAGTGATTAGTGTGCTAAATTTCCTGTTAGATGGTAAGAAATTATGAAAAAAATTGTTATCTAACAAAATCAAAAATACCGACTTTTACAGTAAATGCCGCTGCTGTATCGCACATTGCCTTCATGAAAGATGCCAATTTCAAGCCGAAGTGTCCTTTAGCTGTGGAAACAGATCCGTTACAAAAGCCCCTGGTATTACTGCGTTTGTCACAATCCTCATTGGACTCTACAAATGTGGAATTAGCGGAGAAAGAAGCGGATATGGATGTGGACGAAGAAAACGAAGATGAAATTGAAGAAGAGCCTCATCCAAATGGTTACACACTTGTTGAGCTCAACAAAGCGCAGTTGCAAAAACTCATTACCAGCAGCAAACTACAGTTAGTGGAGAAGCCGGATACAAGCTCATACATAGGAATGAGACAGGTGCACAATGAGGATGCGGACGATTGGGATGACGATGAACGCTCGAAAAAACGTCCCTGGCGTAAAATTCAACGTATTATACGTCGGCAGCTTATAAAGAAACCGAAGCGATATTTCAAAAAAATTGCTCATCAAATTGGTTAAATCATAAGAAAGCAAGTGAATATTTGGATGAAATAAAATGATGAATGACTTTCTCAACAATTCCGATTGTCTTTTCTATTTTTACTCGTTTAAACTCGTTTACTAAATCAGGGTAGATAATTTTTGAATGCAAGAAAAATCGTTGTAGGATGAAACTCATTGGGAACGTTAGATAAAATAACAAATATTAAAGGAAAAACAATTTACGGCCGATCTGAGACCGGGGAGAAGAAAGAAAGGGGTGAAGTTGTAAGTAAAAAAAAGATCTAAGTCTTTAGTGTTAACACCTTTCTCAAATAACCTCAAAATTGACATTACATGTATAAATATATATATTATTATATAAATATATATATTATTTCTACTTACAGTCGAAAAAAAACCTAATTTTCAATCAAAATTCCTCACGCCAAAATATCAAATTATTTTAAAGAGTCAGTAGTCCTTATGTTTGTTGAAACCTCTACCCTCTGACAGAATTCATACGTTACAATGGTAAATTATCTCAGCAAAAGTTTATCTCTCTCGACCCACTCTGCTGTTTCTGTCGCAACCACTCTACCCGTAGGACATGATCATAATTAAAAACTAACTGTTGCATCTTAGTAGTACTTCGATTGCTGAGGTTGCGAAATTGTTTACATTAGCTATTCGAGGGCAATGAAGGCGAATTTGACTCAAATCACTCAAGTGTATTGTAAGATGTCGGATTTGTTCCAATAGTGGGCGATGTCACGACCGTTGCGCAAATTGTAAACATACAGCGTATACCAATAGGAATGACATGATTTGGACAGCTCGTGAATGTCATGTTTCCTTACGGATTTGTGTCAGTAAGGTTTGCCGCTTGGAAATTGTCTAAGCTTATTACGCAAATTCACGTTCTTCGAAAAAATCATCTTCTCCGTTTAGGCCTATTTTAGTCTTAACGGCTTCGTCATTAACAAAAAAGTTGTCGCTATTGGGATGAGTCAAATCTTCGTATGGTTCGGTAAACGCAATTGCATCCCCAAAAATTTACCGTTTAGTACGGACTATGGTATACTGGCATCATCGAGCCTTATTTCTTTCGGAATGAGGCAGGAAACGCCGTTACATTCAACGCGAAGGTTCTCTTTTTCCAACAAGACGGTACGCGATCTCATGTTTCACGTCTAAACATGGACACCTTGCGTGCAAAGTTTGCCGACTCGTTAAATTCGAGAAATAGCCCAGTCAAATGGCCACCAAGATCATGCGATTTAACGCCTCTAGATTATCTTTTCTAGGGTTGTATTAAATCAAAGGCTTACGCCAATCAACCTGCAATGCTTGAGGAGCTCGTGGACAACATTCAGCGCACTATAGCTGAAACTCTAGCCGAAATACAGCCGTTGTAGTCATTTGGCCGATATTATGTTCGAATCCTAAGTGGCATAAAATTATCTACTAACTAAAATTGACTAATAGTCTTTACAAAGTGATCAGAATTTTAGTAGTTCCGAACATTACTGTTATATGACCACATATCATTCTTACAATGATCGGCCATTGATACAGATATCTATCGGGATAATAAACTTGTTGCTGCAATCGCATGGAAAAATTCTATCTAAATTACAGCTCTTAGAATTAGCTTATACAATTACTGTTTTTCATTGCATACCTTTGGGCATTTGAGTATTAATTCAAGATACTCTCAATAAACTCAAATTTATCAGTATGTTGAGTAATAAGCTAGACTGAGTGAGTGAGAACCACGCAAACGTTTATTTTGTACTTCTTATCTCTGGGGCTGAGGCAGAGAACTTATTTTAAGTTCTCTGGCTGAGGTTAGTTAACAAAATCAGCGATCACTCAGTTGCGAATAAACCTCTTACTAATTTACTCAGCACTCGTGCGTACCGGATCGATCGTTTGTTTGTTGATTTGTTCGTCGCGTATTTTGTTTGAGTTCTTGTCGCCAAATTTTGAGCTTTGTACCGCCATAGCCGCGTCAAGACCATTTGTTTGTGTGATTACATTTTAAAACAATATCTGCCTTTGAATATTTTTGTTGCTGTGCGTCAGCCCATAATTTTTATCGCTTCGTTTTTGGCAAATATTTTGGCATTTATTTACATTTTATAATAGAATATTCGTGGCGGTTAAGGGGGAGTGTGCACACACCTACAAACAAACAAGTAAGAACTGAACCTGTTTGATCTTCTTATATTTGTTTACGAGTGTGATCAGCTGTGAATAGTTTTTAGACTCCAACATGGTACTGCTGGGAAAATTAGCAATTGTTACAGGTGAGCATAGCAAATGAATAAGAAAAGTAATTATTTTTCTTATCGAGTTCTTTTACGTAATTAGCCGCATTTGTATGCAATATATTGTTGTTTCCTTTGTATTGTTTCATTACTTTTAATACAATTCACGATACAATTTGCCGGCACATGTGTTACATTCCGCTTTATTGCCATATACCAAATACCAAACAAACTCACACACACATGCACACGCCGTGTAATTTTCTGTAGGCGCTGGTTCTGGCATTGGGCGCGCCACCTGTCGAGTGCTAGCAAGAGAGGGTGCTCGAGTGATCGCAGCTGATCATAATTTTAAAGCCGCTACGCAAACAGCCAGAGATATTGGAATCGGTAAGTATTTACGTCCGCCTACATGTATGCAATATATTATAAACTTTTTCCAATGTGTACAGATCATGTTGTTGCATTGGAGGTGGATGTGGCTTCAATGGAGAGTGTGACTAAGGCGGTTGCTGCTTCCATTGCGCAATTCAAGCAACCACCTTCGATTGTCGTCAATTCGGCAGGTATTACACGTGATGGCTACCTGCTCAAGTTGACCGAGAAGGACTATGATGATGTGTACAAGGTGAATTTGAAAGGCACTTTTATGATGGCTCAACAATTTGCGCGCGCCATGATTGAGCATCATATACGTAACGGAAGCATTATAAATATATCGAGTATTGTGGCACGCATTAGTAATCCTGGCCAAGCTAATTATGCTGCGACAAAAGCTGGTGTCATTTCACTTACTGAAATTGCGGCCAAGGAGTTCGGAAAGTTTGGCATACGCGTAAACGCGATATTGCCTGGCTTCATTAATACGCCCATGGTTGAAGTGGTACCGGATAAGGTTAAGGAAGATGTTTTGCGCCGTTGTCCAATGGGTCGTCTGGGTCGGCCGGAGGAAATCGCAGAAGTCATTGCATTCCTAGCGTCTGAAAAGTCATCGTATGTGAATGGCTCAGCGATTGAGGTAACCGGTGGATTAAAATAAACAAAATGTGATAGAGCTTTCAATGCTTATTGAAACATTTCGAAATTATAAAACTTTCCAGTTATGAAGCGTTCTTCAGTAAAGTGTCTAAAATGCAGAAAATTTTCTGTTAAAGAGATATTCTAAATTGATATACTTGTACATGTAAGAATCGTGCATTTATTGTTCTTAATTTTTAGTATCAAAATTTTAAATAAATTATCCGTTGATGTGTTATTAATATAATTGTTTTTATATTCAAATTTATAAATATAGATATAGGTGCATAAAGTACGAAGGCATAATATTAAATACCTAATTTGTCACCAACTTACTTTATATTTTTAGGTAGCACTGTTAAAAGAATTCGACAGCATTTTCAATTTTGACATAAATCGAGAACAATGACGATAATTAAAATTTAAAATAGTTATATTTAGAAGAATTAAATTAATTTTTACTCTCGTCCTAAAATTACTAAATTTCTGTGTTCTGAGTCTGAGTTCTGAGTTTTTCAAGTTAATCCATATTACCAATTTTAAAAAATCTAAAAAGTGATTTACTAAAATTCTTATTATTTATTATAAATTACAATTATTAATAATAGCTTAGTAAAATTATGCATCTATAGCTAATATAAATTCTTAAAAAATATTTCGTAACAAAAATATCGCGAAAGTAAATAATAATTGAAAACTTCATAAGGTGTTTAAAGAGCAACATTGTTTTTGAAAATCTATTTGGGTAAATGCTAGAAATCTTAAAAAAAATTTAAAAAATAGGTATACATATCTTCTTTAAAGATTTTCAATGTATACAAGCTTCAAGATTCGCAAACTATCCTGATTTTTTGACACCGGCTTCTAGGAGCTTTAGTAGGTTTTTTCGTTTCATAATATGGAGAGAGGGTGTGATTATAATCCGATCCATTTTCACACTGTCGATAGGAGTTCTAAAGGGTTTTTTCTAAGCAAATTTGCCTTTTGCTACTACAATCTTCTGTATCAAATTACAGTTTTATATCTTAATTTAGTGTTGTATTACAAGTATAACGAAAAAAAAGTGGGGACCACTATTGATGCAGATGAAATTAAACATTCCATATCTTATTTTAGCTATCATATTCCCCTTGACAATATTATTAATATGAATACAGAGACCACTGAAAGTGAACATTAAATTGAAAAAATTTATTTGTCGAAAATAAAATAAAAGTTTGTATTTGCTAAACATGTTGCGTTATGATAACATTAATTTTAATACTTTCATGTCTCCCATTTGCCAACATTAAGTTTTACTTATCCGCGCGGGGAGCTGCACGCACCCTTTCTTTGTTAGGTTATTTTAAGTATGAAATACGAACCAACTCCAACTTTCCAAGCTAATCTAGCTGTTTGTGAAACCAAGGAGGACAGCTTATCAACTGTGTATAAAGATGAAAGAAGCGTTGACTCAAGTGTATAACATTTTCTTGAAATTACTTAAAAAGTGGATAGCTTTTCCTACAAGGTAAGAGGTACCTCACTATTTGAACACCTAGGAACAATTGAAACAGCGTTTTCGCGTTGTATTGGTGGTTTATGATTCATTAAGCGAGTATTTATTATTTTTATTTACTTCATACCTTTTTAATAAATTGAACATTTGAACGCAAAGTGAGTAATTACTCAGTAACCAAACAAAAGCCAAGAAAACAGAGCAAAATAAACAAAGTGGCAGGCAATTGGATTGACAGCTGACTGGGACAGCAGAGCACGAATTTCAACGATTGATAAAAACGCAAACGACACGAGAGCATTGACTCTTTGCCACTGATTAGAAGTTACCAAGCGGGGAGTTTTTCACCCCCTGCGGTTGCCGCTAAAATGTTTGTTGAATGCAACTAAAAACTTCTAATAACAAGCAACACGCGAACTTGAAATTTGCCGCCAGCCAGAAGAGCTAAACAGCTGGCAATCAGCTTTATTTGCTTGCATCTGGTGACTGGTGACGCATAACCGGAAGTTTACAGTTTTGTTCACTTGCCCACTGTGCTCGGGTGCTTAACTGCGTGCGAGGGTGCTTACTGCTGACTAAGTGAATTTTTGTTTATTTGTGGATTTAGCGGGTGGTTTCAGTGCTCCGAACTTTTTGCTAGTTTGTTGCGCACTGCCAGCCGTCTGTTACTTGCTGCTGGCTGTTTATTTATTTACTAAATCGCTTTTCTAAACCCGACGGGTGAAAGTGCAGCATGTTGCCATGCTCCTTATTGCTGTTGTTGTTTTTGTTAGTTGTTTTCGTTAAATATTTGTCAGTGTCACCAGATGACGTGGCTAATATTAATACAAAATATAGTACACATACATATGTATGAGCGCTTAGCACCAAAGGGAGGTAGTAGTAGGTGGTACAAGGCGTTGTAATGGGGTTAAAAAGTATACTCTAGGCACTTATCAATGAACTTTATGCTACGTCACATAAAAGTGATTGACACTTAAAAACTAGCTTAGTACCATAGTTGGCGGTTGATTGCTGGTGCGTGTCGGCCAGTCTGTTTGGCAACAATAATTACGGGCGGAGCTGTTAACAATTTGTGGGTTACTGATATGATTAATATATGTTTTAATTTTTTGAATATTTTTCTGCTTATACGCATATACAATATTTGCTTTAAATCAACTTTTTAATATTTTAGATATTGTAACATAACCAGGGTTTGTGATGGAATCTGATAGTTTGCGGAATCACAAAAATATTATTAGGTTTCTTGTATTCTGATATTGTTGATTTGCTCGTCCCAGGATGTACTTAACGAAATCTTTTAGCTAGCGCAACTATCCATAATTAATTATTTTTTAATATCTAATTTTATTTCATATCATCAGCTTGGCGCCAATATAAAACCGCTACAGTAGTAGACAGAAGTGGCAAATTTAAGATCAACTGCGAATAATGCACTGAAAATTTTAATCAATTTCTCTGATGAATGTAGTCGAGGATGTTGTTGTTTTTGTTTTCGAGTAAGCTGTGCTATATACCAGATGCCTAATATAATAGGGATTTTAATGAGCTACAAATCTGTAAAATTAATTGATTTTATTTTGTTAATATGTTTCTTTTCTTCTTGGGCATCAATCGGATTTTAATTGCCCCGTAAAATTTTTCATTTTATCTTTTCCCACTTTGTGCCTATAACTCTAATAAAATAGAATCTGCAATAACTGCACCACCTATTTTGCCATTTTTATAAATAGTTAAAACTAATTATGTTCATAAAATATTATATTATAAAAAATAATCCGAAGTTTGCCATTTCCAGTTTTATCTCTTAAATAGAAGTTGTCACAGCTGTTTCATAGATTTGATTCGCAGTTAAGCGAATGTGGACCTCCGAAAGAAGGTGTCTGCCGGTGAGAAAAAATTGTGTGCTTGAAATTACCTCAAATTCAAAAGCCAAAAAATAAAGATTATTACAGTACATGAATACAGATATACTTGTATGTATGTAGATCGAAGGACAAGTCAAAATTTTGATTTTCGAAAAACTAGCGACTTCTTAAAAAATGTCGTTGTTTTTGAAGTGAATACGCCTTGGGCCGCATTAAAGTAATTTATCAAGTCTCGTCACGCCATTTTTTCAAATTTCCGGCTCGCTTTTGTTTTGCACAAAGCCGACGACAAGCGACAGGCAGCATCTGTTAAATATTAACATACTCACGCTCTTAGGGGCACAATTATTTAAATAACAGCACGACTTTCAGGCAGCAGGATTGCAGTTGTCGCTGTCGCTAAATTAAAACCATTTCCAATTTTGCCGACGATAATGGGCTGCTGTAGTGTTGCCACTAATATGTGAAATGTAAAATTATTCAAAACTCTAACAAGTCTAACGTTATCTTACCAACAGAAGCATAAAATGGCTCTGATATATAATTTGTAATAACAATTGTTAATTTAAACAAAATAAATCGACCTTTTTATTTATAATTTGCACAAAAATTTACGGCAACAACGAAACTGTGTACATCAGCTGTTTAATATGTCGCTGCCGTCATCAAAATCTTCAAAAAGCTGGTTTCAAGACGACATTTGACGAAAAGAAAATTTCACTGTCGTACAGTCGTCTTTGTTATTTTTCGTCGGTTGTTCTTTTTTGTTTTCATTTGAGCAATGGCAACATTATATTTATTGTTATAGTTTATATAGATGGTTTTGCATATATTTAGCTTTTCAGTTATAATTTTTCTTAATGTAAGAGATCAAAACAAAAATCCAACTATTAAAATAGTCTACCTATTTATAAATATCTGCATTCGACGGTGATGTTGAGTTAAGTTTAAGTATATATCATATATATTAAAGTTTATTTTTTAATTACCACAAAATATCCAGACTGACAACCTTGCGTTACAAGAGAACAATGAGCTGACTCGTTTCTATGGGGGAAAAAACCAATTTTCCCGTATATCCTCGGTTTCGCATACGGTAGAAGTGGACGGTTGAAGAGGTGGCGAGTGTTCATTTACATTGCGCTCTCATAAGATACGTCGTATCAGCTGATACAGTCTACGGTTTTGAGTCGGTTACTAACTGAAGCATTAGGGTACATAAGGTTACGACAACATCATACGTCATCGCACCAAGAATGATAGAATACAAGGTTACGCCAAAAGTTTTATTGAAATTAATAGAATAATGTTGCGCGAAAATATTTTGGTAATTTTTTAAGAAATACTTTTATCTGTTGACTACAAAATTGCTAATTAAGTGAATTATTAAAAGGGATTAAAACTAGTATCGAAGGATTATGTATAATTACAACAAATGACGATTTAAGTTTTTATCATGGTCGGAGAGCTACAACAGTAATGACATATTTGCAAGATGAATTCCGCAGACTTTTGTTGAATTGTTTGGAAACTGATCCTTCACTTTATTCGTCAAAGGAAAGCATTATTAATATACGCCAATAATTGCCATAGTTTTCGAGCTCATTCTCAGGATCTCACAGATGCAATGATACGAAAACCAAACATTGTGCTATTTACCGAAACTAGGTTAGACAATGATGAGAACGTCCGCATATCAAACTTCACTTGTGTCGCCATATATAATATTAAAGACCGAACATTTGAGCAAGAAGTTTGCGATTTATTATAATGAATGTAAAACATTAAACATTGACATTACAAATTTTAATACGAGTGCAATAAATACCACTGCACATACAGTGAGTTTGACTGAAATTGACGATATTAGCTTAGGGTATTCCAGTCTAGAAACATGAATTTTAATTAATTTTAAGTGTCGTAAAAGTAAGGCAATCAATATTTTTACTATCGATTTTTTATCAGTTATTTATTAATGTTACAAGAGTACAGAAAAAAATTTACAAAAAAAAGTTAAAAATTTAAAAAACTGGCAGCTGATGATAATGGGGGTCTCAAAGAATTGGCACAGGAGCACACCTATGATTTCAACCCTCCTAGTCTCCTGAAATGAAAAAAAAGGATTATCAATCTGCAAAGTAAAAATAAATATTTTTTTACAAAATGGCGATTGTTTGAAAAAAAAAACGTTTTGTTTACAAATTTTTTTTATTTTCTACTTAAAAAATTGTAAAAATTGAAATTTGGGGATGATGCTAGTTCATACTCGAAAGAGGTCTATAAAGAAGATTCTCTGAATTTCAAGTAAATCGGTCCAGTAGAATTCGAGAAATCGTGGGTATCGTATTGAAAAAGCTTGGTCTGAGAAAAACGCATTTAAAGTTTCGTGTAAGCCCTTTTGTTCGATTAGATCCAGCCGAACCAGTTTGGAGGCCGGGTTAGTAAAATATCTATAATTTCAATTTTCAAAAATCCTATCGTAGACATATTCTTAAATAGTTAATAGTTGCAATTCGTCACTAGAATACTTCCTTAATTAAATGTAAAATATCAAATGGAAAAGAAATTTCCATCGCAGCGATCTACGTATCTCCTAGCCAAAAAAGCTTTAGGATATCATGTATTTCATACATAGTTATGTACACTCATGGTGGTGCTGCTCTCCTTGGCAGGGGTGATGATCACATACCATTGATTCTCGGTGGTGACTTTAATGTAAATTTTGCGGAGGATGCGTCTCTCTCACTACTTCACTATCTTCCTGAAAAATTCGGTTAAGATATGAATAACAACCGGAAAATAGCCACGACTAAAGCAGGAACAACGATTGAAGCTCTATTCTCCAGAAATCTACAGTATTTAGAATCACCAACATATGTTTCATACTTTAGTTACCAAAAAGTCATAATATCCGCTATACCTATATCTGCTTCGACTGAAGATAATGTACAAATTGAAGAAATAAATTAAATATTAAATTTGTATACCACATCTAATTATTTCGATTACCCCTGTAATATGCACAATATTACTCTCTCTCTCTCTCTCTCTTTCCCTTACTCTCACTATTACTCTCAATGAATCGGTAAAGAAGTATTCACTTCTATCGCGTGTGCTGTACTGCACGCGACATTTTGTAACTTCCATTTCAGAGTGCCTAAAAAATTTAAATTATTATCTGAAATCTTATTCCTATGATCATTATCTAACTAATATTTCTACGTTATACTCGTAAATATAGGGTCGTGTGAAAATTTCTTGTCGATCGGAACAAACCGTCCGAGTCGTTTCGGAACAAATTTTTCGCAAAAACTCTGAAAAAAATGTTTGGCAGCCGATTACCCCAGGTCACCTTCACATTTTCGGAAAATATTCTCAAATATATATACATTTAATTTACTGGTATATGCAAAAACAAATACCGAATTTTTGAAATATGCAAATGTTTATAATCCATCAGCAGGCCTTCAATGTGGCAATGTTTTCGTCCTTTTTTCTCACAACGCTACTTTCTGCTCACACACAGTACTCCCATAATACATACTATTGTAACCTATTAAAATAAATTTATTTGGTTATTGGATCACCGAGAGCACAACCCTGTAGTTTTATAGCCAAGAGACGATTGTAACATATTCGCAGTTTTTAATTTAATTTAAATTTATGCATGTATGCATGGAAGCTTACCTGTTTTTTTGGTTTTCTGTTTGATTTTATCTTTTAGTAAAAAAAATATACCAGAGAAGAAGTGATTTTTAATTTCTCAATTTTATTAATTCACCTTTTCTTACAATTTTTGCTTAGCTGTAAACTCATTTGTTACGTATGTATACATGTATGTATGTATGTGTGTATTGTGTACTTATGTGAGTGTGTAGCTCAATATACATGAGTATTTTTAGAATTAGACGTGTTTTGTATACATGTGTGTATGTGTGTGTGGGTGTGTTTATATAAATGTCATCGCATTACATTGTTATGCACAGTTTTTAAATTATTATTTCAACTATAAGTTTTTATTTATACACAGTGTTCACGCAAATCATAGAAAATCTATTGGCTTTTTTGTTGCACGTAAACACTTAAATTGCTATTAAAATACTATAAAAATACATATGTAAGTATGTACTAACACATTACCTTTATATCATAATTATCTGCATTAGCGCTCTAATTACAAACATATGCGTATTTCATTACTTAATTTAAAATCGATTTTAATTTATTTTATTTTATTAAGGTCATATAAAAACCTAATGCTAAGTAATAATACTATAATCATCGATCAATGCAAATTAGGAATATACAGGCTTATTTCATAGCTGCATTTCTATGTGTGTGTGTATGCACATTGCATATTGTATGAATTTACAAATTATCTGCATGAATGATTGAATGCACAATAATATTGATGAATGATTTACAATGTGAATGACTTAATGCTCGAATAGTTCGAGAAAATAAAGCGGAAACTCACCAAACACTCGAAGTTTATTTACGCATTACATATAAAAGAAAAAACGGTAAATTTACAACTTAGTTACTTAAATGGTTACTTAGAATATGTTACGTGGGTATGTGTATGTGTGTATATGTACATGTATTATATAAATATAATCTAATTTAAAGCGTCAATTGAACTGAATAATTCTTTAATATTTCAAATTTCATTAGAATATATTTATTTATTTTTAATTACATAAATCTTACAATTACTTTTATACAATACATACTGGTATGACTTACTAATTGAAACATTAACAACTAAATTCGTTAAAGACAATTTAAAGCGCTGTGTACAATATTTATCTGCTTGAGTTTGCTTGAATAAGTTTTGATTGACAAAGATTTCAGACTGCTTAAGCATTCAATCAACTTTTAAATTATGCACTGGTACTTTGTTTTCTAAAAGAAATTTACATGCATATATTTCGTAGTTAAGTAAATATTTATATATGAAAAGGCATTAACAGATTTTCAGTAGCTGGCTCTTTCAATGTGTTTTTAATTTTTAATTTTTAAATAATTTTTCTAAGACACTAATAAGACGTAGCGTTTTTCGTTTAGGTAATATTTGGAGCATATGTTTTACTATGAGATTTCTTAATATAGCGTAATTCATTATGTGGCAGAGAATGAATGAAATACAGTTATTTGGACTCCATGTGTTTTTTCATACAAAAGCTGGACACATTTGAATGTCAAGCACAAGAAGCAGATCTACATACAAACAAGCGGAAATGTTGCACACGAAATGCTTGAGAGTATTTTGTTTAGATATTTTAAAAAAATTTTAAGGCACACACCTAATGTAATACATTGAAAAATAATTTTTTTACTTTTTGGATATTACGATAGTCAATACCTTCAAAAATAACGGGCCAAAATTGTAAACGAATATTTAAAATATTGTACAGTTATAGCTTTCTAAAGTGTAGTCGCTCAGTTCAATTAGCTTAATCAATTTAACTTGAAATGCGTTTTGCTCAAAACTAAATTTTTCAAATTGGATCGAATGATTACTTGAGACAAATTATCCGATCACTATTAAATGCTTTCTGCATGTTCTGTACAATATCATACAATGACATACCAGTTTTTGATCGGGTCAAAAAAAAGAATCTTGGAAGGGCATAAGTGTCCAAAACTTTGGCTAAAATTCAACTTTTTAAAACGATATCATTTTGTAAATTTCTGATATTTTTTTCGACTGTTCCAGAACAGTACGTGTAACTCGAAAAATATCTAAATTTTCATGGTAAATTTCAATGAATGTTCTAAAAATATGTATAAATATACGCTTAAATTTTAAGACAACTGATACAGTATTTATTTTTTAATTCTCGAAATTCGTCTCAAACATAGTAGGTGTGCCCCTTAAAAATATCTTTTTTTCAGTTTTTTTTTCAAAATGAACTAAAATGTAATTATTTATGTTATACGTCAAGTTGTAATTAGTTTTTTTTTTGTAAAAATAGTTTGGAATATCCATAAACACAGTTTTTCAGAAGAAAGTCATATTTGAATATACATATATATAATAGTAGAAAAACTTGCCTAAATATTTCCAAATAATTTAAAAGTTCGAATATATTTGGTATATATACATATGTATACGAATTCACGGATATTAAATTTTGTTGCATCTTAAAGCTTTCAAAACCGATTTATGCATATTTTATTAACTTTTTTGGCGTTTTGAGTTATGATAATAAATATATAAGCAATATGTACTAACAATCCATCTCATTTTTGAAAAATATGCAGTAATAGATATTAAAAATTAAAAATATCAACAAATAAAATTTTGGTGAAAATATAGAAAAAGCAAGTATGATGTATTGAAAAGCGCCACAGTATAAAAAACTAGAAATATTATGATTTTCAACATTTTTGAAACACTACTCCACTATATATATATGTATGTATGTATGTACATATGTAAAATTCTAGAAAATGCAACCATATTTAATTCCTACGCTTGAATTTTAACGGCTCCCTAAACAAAGCTTTTACTTACAACAACATACGTACGAGCTTATGCACGCATGCGTGAACATCCATCTACACTTAGTACTTAGCTTAAGCTTAAAACTATCAGGTACTTTGGCATTGAAATGCAAATGCTTAACATAAACTTTAGCAGCTAGCGCTCGTACGCATGTGTGCGTGTGTTTGTATGCATGTATCTGTGCATACTTAAGCAAAAATAGTTATAGAATATACATATATTTAAATTCTTTTCCAAGTTTTTATTATTATTATGATTTTTTTTTTTTAATTTCGTATAAATATTTTGAAGAGTACTTTTGTAGTTATCAGCAAAAATTTGGACAATTTGAAGTAGAACATATCATACATACGTGTGTGTATGTTTGGATGCTTTCAATATTTTGTTCTTTTTCAACAAGTAGTAATTTTTTTTGTTTTGTTTTGCAATTTCCTAACCACTGTTTTCACAAATGCTGTTTTGTAGGCTTTTAGGTATACTCAATGTTTATATGAACGTAGTTTAGAAATATTTATTAGGACTCTTACTACCAGCTGTTTGTTGTTGTATTAAATAGCAATATTCAGTACTAAGTTTAGGCTTTTTTGTAGATTTTGTTTTTATTTTATTTTTTCTGTTTTTTTCATGCTTATATACAAACATACATATGTATGCTGCTTCTGAGCGTAATTTCCTTTCTTACTAGTTTTTATAACGTAAAACGAATATTTGAAATTTTTTTCATAATTTGTTTTTTTTTTTTATCTATGGCATGCCTACATATTTCTGTATGTATGTAGGCATGTTTGTAAATATATTTTAGCGTTGGTCTTGCGGACTATTTGGTATGGTATTTTACGAATTTTAATAAATATTAATCATCTAATCTAAATACATGCATATGCACGTGTGTATGTGTTTCACTTGTGCCTACATACATAGCTAAGCTGTTGCAGCATTTAGTTCATTAAAATTTTTTTAAAATATTACAAAATCTGTGTTTACTCGTGAGTAGTCTGTTTGCTTATTCTCTTTTTATTGTAAACATTGCAAAGTTCTCGTGTTAAAAGGAAATTAATTTCAAATTCATTTACCTGCTAAATGCAGTCATCCAAGTCGAAAAGCATCAAAATTTCATAACACATTTTGTCGAAAGAGCGCAAAATAAAAAGATATGTGGATTTTTCCACTTGAGTTTTCTTGTGAACAAATATAAAAGAAAGTAATAAAAATTGCAAACGCTTCTGCTGCCAGCTGCACACATATTAATATATACCTATACATGTATGTATGAGGATTGTCAGTGGTTTATTCACTTACTAGATTGAAGGATGCCGTCAGCAATCCACATAAGCAAAACAGAGTTTTATTTCTTTTATTTAAAAGCTTTTTTGGATTCGGACCTCAATAATCATACCCTCATTGAGGTGTTCCTTAAGGGGAGATTCTAGTCTAGAAATTAAAACGACAAACGATTTTGTGACAGTTTAGATATTCAAAAACAAGTCCATAAAATAACTTTTTGAAATTATAGCGATATTTAGAATCGTGACAACTCGGCCTAGTTAGCCTTAACTTGAACTTTTAGCGTGTTTTTCTCGAAACTACTTTTTTGATGCGGTCGCTACGATTACTTAACATCTAATCGACTTTCTCAAAAACGTTCTTTAAATGAATATTTTTGTGTATTTTTTTCAGTTTTATTTGTTGATACGATATTGCCATTAGAAATCGGTAGTCTGTCATTGTTTTATCTTCCGTTGACCAAATGAGTAGAAATCATGACGACGAGGACGCGGAATTACGAATGTTTTTATTATAAATTTATTTGTTGTACCCTTGTAATTTAGATGAAAAAGAATGACAAAAAACAAACGGACAGTAAAAATATCAATTAATTTTTTCATCGGTTGCCAAAACCATTCGAAATTCAGACCCTAAACTAGAATACCTCGTTAAATTTATAATAGTACTTTCTTGGAGAATATGCTGGAAATAATATTACAAAGTACTCAAACTCTCTCAAGCTTGAGTTAGCAACTGCTTTTGTATATTTTTTGCTTGCCTTAAAAGAAAATTATTTTTCGTTATTAGCATTTAAAGAGACAAATGATTTTTTTAGCTTATGTTCATAATTTACCATGTGCAAATTTGCCTGTAGAGCATTCATACTCTACTTTTTTCATTAAGTTATCTTAAAATTTGGCAGCTATTGAATGAATATTGAACATTCTTGCATTTGTGAAAATATTTCATGTTTAGTCTCAGCTTTACTTCGTGCTTACTTACATGTTCCCAATTAATAATATAATATTATATTTCCTTCATACATTTCTGCTTAAAGCCTCGGGGAAAAATTAAGTCAATTTGCTAACATTGCAAAAACTTGCGTTATTACTTTCACGGTACTTTTCTAACTGCTTTCGTAAGCGGAAAAGTTTCACTTTGTTGGAATAAAAGCCTACTTATGACCTTTCTCTTGCTACAAAATCTTACACATCAGCCATTTTTGAATTACGTACTATGTACGGTAATTTTGGTAACCTTTACCTTAAACTTGAAAATACATTCCATTTTGCCATATTTTTCTCACATTTACCATTTCCTCAGTAAATCATATAAATACGTAAATTCTTCGCTCTCTTCCAACCTTTATAATTTATGCTACACACAATGAAATTGCAAGCTTAGCAACCACTGCTAATGTCAGCATAAAAATTCGGTAGCATATATTTTAATCTGGATGGAAATATGTGAGTGTATTATATTATATATTTGTAAAATGGCATAGATGTCATAAAATACTTTTATTTGTGAAATTGTGTGCGAAATTTTGCAAAGACAAGAGATGAAATGCACACAACGGGAGCAGACGTGTTTAACCAGCTGATTCTAACTAGCTGAAATTTCTCTAGAAGAAACTAGCAGCTCTCCTAGATTCCTAAATCCCATTCAAATATAACTTTTCCCGCTTTTGGTGACAGCTCATATTGAAACACCAAGCGCAGAAAATAAAGTGTATGCCACAATGAACGCTTTGCTTTCAGTATTTCTCTCTGATAAAAATGGCGACTGTTGCGTGGCAACTCTCACCCAATATTTTGCTTGGCTTTACGTTAAAAACCCTTTATGTGAACGTTCGCATACAAAAGCGTACATCGAACTTTTCTGCCAAAACAAATGTTTGACGCAAAGCGAAGCAAAAGTTCTATGTGAGTTGGCCAATACGCTCTCAACTATCAACTTATGCTATCTTCTGTTAGTTTTTTTGGGTTAAGAAACGCTTTTCCAGCAGAAACTAGTGTTTGTTAGCAGTTAGGAAACAATATTATTATTGGCATTCATTGAAAAGGTTTCTGCAAATGAATGTGTAATAAGATATTACTCGAGAACTTTGAAATTTTTAACATCGAAGCCCAAAAATGTGTAAAATAATTTCAAAAATTAAATAAATTATAGGACAACAGCCTAGACTATGTAGAAACAAAGCCCTCACTTACCCTATGTCCACTTTGCAAGCCATTCAAACGATTTTTCAATGATTTTGAGATCAGTCTTTCATTTCTAATGCGACTATTTATGAAACATTATGCTCATTTCAAATATGTGCCTACACACAGCTTACATTGACTTTCTACAGCGCTAATGTAGACGCTCTAAACCGCAGTTGGTGGCGGCAGCAGCGATGAATTTGACGATCTCAAATAGGGATTACCGTAAATGGCGCTATAACGTGGATCCACACTCATCGCCACCGAACTGGAAATGACATGTGTCGCGGTGCTCTGATTACTGCAGCTGCCATTCGGTGATGAGCTCACCACAGACGCTGTGGTGGATTGCAAACTCGGTAGACCATTGTCCTGGCGTATTTCGCGCGAACCGACAATACTACTTGTCAGACTACCGCTCGCACTACCGTTCGAGAGGAATGTCATTGGCACAGTTTGTGGTGGTGGTGTTTGGTGATGATGTTGTAGTGTTTGTTGCATATGTTGCTGTTGCAAATGATTATGATGATTGTTTTGTAATATTGTCGAGCTGCCATTCGACTTGGTAGAGCATGTGGTGAGATATTGTGGTGGCGGGCTGTAGTGTGTTGAGTAGTCGCCATAGGGTACATATCCGCCTGATATGTCCACTTTTAGATCACTGTAATTGGAGGTGCGATCTCCGGCCTCCATTTTACAAGCTACACCGCCATTTTTACTTATCTGATGCTCGCTTATCACATCGGCCGGTGGTAATTTGGTGCGCTTCTTACACTTGAAGTAGACGATAATGATAATGATTAGTACCATAGCACAGCCGACCACGGAGGTGCCACCAATGATGATCATCATGGGCGAGATTGTTTCTGTAGATGAAAAAAAAAATATAAAAGATTTTAACGTAGAACCTTACATCAAGTATTTATAGGGACTATACTGAATATAAGGGTCCATATCTATTGGAAGAATTATAACTTGTGAATCTGTTTACCACCATTTTTGATCTCCATTTCGTACAACAAAACGTTCCCATTTATGTTTGTTAGGCTATCCCAGATATTGACACGCCTGATAAATGTACGCTATAAATTCAACCGAAGGGTGGAAATAATTTTTTCCGGCTGGGAAATATTGGACGATGTTCTCATTTTTTTGACAGTGTAAAGAAGTTATTCTACAGTGGAATTACTAGAAATATGAGAACGGCTTAGTCAATAGCACTAGAGCCCGTATTTTCGGTAAGTAAAAAGAGCTTCGGAAAGAGGAGATATAGTTATATGTATTGCGGTAATTAAGAGTAAACGATGTACATACATCTAAGTACTACATAACATAGGTTTATGTAGGACATACTATTATATTTAAAATATATGTACACATACTATCTGCGAGGCTTAAATTATCTGCATACTTAAATGGGATCCCATTTGTCGAAATAAATTATTATTTGAGGGTTTTGTCAAATAAATATATTATAAACCCTACATGTTCATTACGGTTTAGTTAATACTAAATACTAAAACTTGATTATCAGAAGGAAGTTCTGATCCCTAACTTGATGTGTTGCATCCCCTATTAAAAATATATTTTTCTTGAAACTGCGTAATTTAAGTTGACACACTGATCGAACGAAAATTATAGGTTTAATGTATGAGAAACATTAATTATAACAATCATATCGATAGGTGAAGCCTGTCGGCTGTACCACGGGTTACCATAATCCTATCTACACCAAGCTTAGTTTCTATTTTTTTCAACTTGATTCAAACAAATTAAGAGGTTATGCGCTCAAAAAAATATTACTTTAAATTTTTTTGGGATACCCTAATTATATTGGCTTATACACAATTTTGTGCACATAAATCCATGTGCAACACCCAAATTTAGCTCTTCCTTACTTGTCTATTTATTCCTTTAAAATTCTTGAATCTCCTAATTTTATATCTAAGTAAGGGATTTTTGATTTGAGACAAATATGTTAACAATTTAATTAAATTACTTATATAAATGTACCATGCGACCGTTATGAATCCCTTGCTATACTATTCTAAGCAATCCTCAACCACTCTTACACGTACATCTCGAACAGCAATGCTGTACCCACATGCATCGTTTATGCAAGCAATTACCTCCGCGTTCTTACACACACATACTCGCACTATGGTATATTGTTGAAAACTGGGTGAAAGACTCACTTTGTGCCTGCAAATTGATTTCCAACACATCGTTGCCATAATCGTTCACCACTGTGCAATTGTATTTGCCGTAATGATACGCCTGACTGTCACGGATGATCAGGGTCGATTTGACGCCACCCGGCACCGGATCCACCAGTATCGAGTAGTCGTGTCCGTATTCAGCGCTGATTTCATGTCCATTAAATGTCCAAGAGACGTGACGCGCACGTGGCACCGATGTTGCGGAACATTCAAGGCGCGCCGTATCACCCACCCAACCGAATTGATATGGCGGCGAGTAAATGGTGGGCGAACCTTTCAGGTAAACATACGCATCGGTGCTGATTTCTTTGTAGCCGGGCACATTGGCTTTGCAATAGTAGCGACCGGCTGTTTCATTGCTAACGGTAAAGCTGAGATTGGAGTTGATGCCAACGACCTGGAAGTGGAGGAAAGAATAGCGGATAGTAGTTATTAATTTTTTTATATAAATAATACAGCATGTTGTGGTGTGTAGAAATATAAAGAAATGCAAACTTTGATTCAACAGGCTTTTTAATAATAATCAAGCCCATTTTTTTTTTTAGATTTTTTGTTATAGATAATTTTGAGAAATTATATATTTTTTATTTTACAATTAATATTATACCAAAGTATGTCTAGTGTTCATAAATTGACTCACCCTATCGCTTGGATGCTGAATCCACACAACATCTGGAGTTGGATTGCCGTCCACTTCACAGCCTAGAGACACCAAAGTGCCAATGTCTGCTTCGATAGATTGTGGGCGTTGACGAAAGCTGGGAGCGTCTGGAAACAAGTAATAAAAATAATAAAATTTAAATAAACATAGCTAAATATAAAAGGACAGATAATTTTTTAAACTCAAGGATCCATTTGTGAACCCTTGTGTTATTATTTTAATTTTATATTTTTAAAATATTGTATTATATATTATGCTAAGTTATTAACATAATTTTTAATTTAATATTTTCATATAATTTTCTATTTTGTACTTACAGCTGATATCGAGTGTCTCACTATCTTCACTCTTGCCCACTGAGTTTTGCACTTCGCACTTGACAATGGCATCATGAAATTTTCTCGTGACATTTCGAATGACCTGCACAAATCGGAGAACGACCAAATATATTTAAACGATATATTATATTATGAAAAAAAAATATTTTTTCTATATAATAAAAATTATATTGTATAATATATACATATGTATGTACATAAATGTGTGAATTGTAAGGATTCATACTTTTAATCAAAATTAAATAAATAATAAATCGTGACATTTCGAATGACCTGCACAAATCGGAGAACGACTAAATATATTTAAACGGTATATTATATTATGAAAAAAAAATACTTTTTCTATATAATAAAAATTATATTGTATAATATATACATATGTATGTACATAAATGTGTGAATTGTAAGGATTCATACTTTTAATCAAAATTAAATAAATTACAGCGTGTTAATTGCAGAAGTGCGCAATATCTCAAAACGTTAACAATTTACCATTTATTATAATTATTATTGCATAAATGCAAATCGAGTTTAAAACTTTCCTTAAGCATATCCATTTTCTGTTATACTGGGCGTATGAGTAACCTCTAATTACGCTTATCAGCACTTAACTAGCAATGGCTGCTATCTGTCGCCAAACACTTGCATGAGCAATATAATAATGCAAATGGCTGCTAATAACAATCATACAATCCGCTGACTAGTTGTCGAGTCCAGTTAGATGCGCCACATACATACATAGATACATATATACATGCGTCGCACGTCTGTTTGGGTGATTAAAATACGCAAATAAGTGCTGGTAAATATTTTTAAAGAACAGCGGTGCAATAGAAAGAAAGAAGCCCCAATCACAGTCAACTTAAACACTACAACGTTCTACGACTGCCAAAGATTGTTATGCAGACTTTAGACGTTATCTAACCAGTTTACAATTGATATGAAAACGTTTTTCAAAGCCACTTTTAAGCGTGCCATATAATTTAGCGCCGAGAGACTGCTGCATTCGCTTGCGCCGAGAGACTGCTGCATTCGCTTGCGATTCAACATATTTTTAGCCATAACAAATTATGAGAGCCGACAGCCAGTTTCGGTCACACACGCGCACATTTGTATACATAAATATGTGAATATACATATATTGCAGCAATGCAAAGGGGAAGTGGCGCACGGCTGTAATTGTTGTGAAAATTGCATTTACTGGCAGCTGCTGATCAACTGGTTGCAAGTGGCAAGTAGCGTATAGTGACTGGTTAGGAGTTTAGCAAATAATTTGTGTTCTACTATCGATACTGACGCAGCAGTCAGAGGTGGGCAGACGTTTTGGGTGGTTCTAACTGCAATGTAGTCTACATAGGTGTTTTTTTTTAATGGCGAAGAACTGGTTTGTGTTGCAAGTAGAATTATGTTAAGGTGGACCAAAACAATTTTCAAATTTTTTCCTTAAACATCGTAAAAATATCGTTCGAAATGACGAAACGAAAATTCTGGTAAAAATAGAGTTCATAATATTACTATTAACAGGTGGCGCATTAAGATTTTCGATTTCACATATATGTAGTAGGAATATTTTCATATTTTGTTTGGATGTTTAATGCATTTGAACAAATTATTGTATAGAGAAATTAAAAAAATATTCTTGCGGGGAATTTAACGATCTCAAAAAGAGTTCTACTAAGTTGATTTTTAGCTGAGTCGACCCACTCAAAAGTTATTCGAGGTCAGAGGCAATAATTTGTATGACTCTTGTTGTTTTTATGTGATAAATTCATAGAATTTTTGTGTGCCATTCAGCATGATCGAAAATAAAAACAGTAAAAAGACATTTTATTATAACTTAGTTAGAAGTATTTAGAATATGTTTTACACATTTTATTATATTATGCAATTGATGACTTTCGGACGATATTTTAACCGTATCTAAGATTTGATTAAAAAAAATTTTTTTTGGCCCACCTTAATGTGTAATATATATGTGTGTTCTTTATGTGCGTTAATTTTCCAGCCAAATAAAAGCAAATATATCGCAGCAACAAGCGCTTCAAATTGCCACAGCAGCTACAGACGCTGGTGGCGACGCTAGTATATTTGTCAATCAACCAGTTTTTGTTATGTTGTTGTATGCAATTTAATATGGCTGAGGCAGAGTGTGATGACGCGTTGAATGTACATAGTTAATTACCATTTGAACGCTGGTGGTTTGGTGGTATTAACTGCAATAAGTTAAGTGAGTGTGCGCGCTTTAAGAACAACAACAAAAAAATGAATTTCTGCAATAAAAACTATTCAATATTAAGCGTCAAGCTTTTAACGGCGCAATATTGCAGCGATTGCATTTGTTATCGCATCCAATGATTATGATCGTAACGGCTCTCTTGTTCTTGCCTTTGCTCTTCACCACCCGCACCCACATAGCGGCATCGCGCCTGCCTGGGGCAATAAAAGCAGCTGCAACTGCCAAACTGGTTGCTACTTTCTAACCGTTTGTTGGTGTCTTTAATTCTACACATTTACGTTGCAACATTTCGCTTGCCCCACGTAACAATCTGCGATCGCGTAATCGCTGTGGCAGCAAAAAAACAATAATAATATGTATGTGCAATATTTGCTCTACAAATACATATGCACTACTGACTATGGTGTATGGCAAACGCAATCACTAGCAACTGGAAATATCTAACGTTTCTTGTTGTTGCATGGCCACATGATTGGCTTGTGTTACGTGAATTGTCGGGCACAGTAGTGGCAGGCGTGACAGCTAGCTACAATAACAATTCTAACATTTGAGGCGTGCAATAGCAACTGCCACTCCATATTAACCTCAACCCAACCGAGTGCACTCCCATTCACTGCCTTACACCGCAACTAACTACCTATGCTTCAATTCACTCCACACCCAATCTACGTGCAAGTACCTCCGACCCCTCCACTGGCGCGACGCTGTTCACTCAAATATAAATCGCTCCAATGAATTCGCTATGCGCTAGTTCTTTATAACAATAACAAAAAAAATTTAAATCCATTCATATGCATTGCTTTTGTTGTAACTCACCATCTCGGTTTTTTGTCCACCAACAATTGGTTCATCGTTGATGAACCAGCGATAACGCAGATCACTGGGATTGGCATCCGCTTTGCACTCTAATCGCACCTGTGCAAACTCCGGTATACGTCCATCCTCCAACGCACCGCCAATTATGTTCACTTTAACTTTTGGTGCGTATTTTACCTGAAATATTGAGGAGAAAAAAGAAAAAACAAAATAAATCGCATGAAAGTGGCGTTTAGAAAATTTCTCTGAATTGTGATCTGTTGTTTTGACGTATTTCAATGCTATAATTTGAACCGGTTTTGTTGCAGCATGGAACTTATTATTATACTATATACCAGATGTATGTGTTTGCTTAGTGATTTGGGACCTAAAAGCCTATATAGCATATATGTATGTTGTATAAATACTTGTACAATATTTTTATTACACATGAATGAGTAGGAAGAAGTAAAAACTATTTTTTGGCTCAACTGCGATAAACATTGACCTTTACATATATACACGTTAATCATCTTTTAATAACTTCTATTATCTACTCCGTAAAAAACCCCTAACTTATTACGGTCTACCATCTACTTGCTGCTAGTTCAATATTCCATTATTAATTTATTTAAGTAACTCTACTGCCAGCCAACTATTAATTTTTTACTTTTCCAGCCCATTCCGACTACATGAAATTTGGTTTTGGAATTTATTCTGAAACCGAATTACTCAAATAATTTTTAGCGAAGCTGCCGAGTTCACAGTACTTGAACGGAAAAGGACATTTTGGAAATCTTGGATTGGGACCCTTAATGCTCGCCGAAAATTACTTTCAACGTCTCTTTACTACTCTAAAAACACTGAGCCGAAATTGTAGCGCACATACAGATATTCTAAAGATTGCAGCCACTACACAAAGCTTATAAAACGAATATGACATACTCTACTTATCATACTTGCAACCAAATGCATTACTTGAGCCCTGATTTTCAATCTGAGAGTCTAGAAAGACTAGAAATACTTGGTATGATTTAGTGATAAAGACTACACTGAAAAAGCTCAATGTTATAATAAATGAAATAAAAAAAATATTTCAAAGCAGGTAAATATTTTAGTGCCTTAAAATATTTCAAAAATATGTTTGAAAAGAAATAATATACATATCGCAATTCAGTAAGAAGTCTCTAGTCATTATTTGTGACATTCTAAAGTAAAATCTTTATTTGCGATAAGTTACTAATCGCACTACTGTCTCTAGCTTCTAGTCACAAAATATTGTCTGAAATGTGTCATCCCATAGTAAGTAGGTGATTAAACTAATAGAATTCTTGTTTTCCTTTTTGAATATACTGACAATTTACTTATAGAGATCATTATAGATATTAATCGATTGTCGATTTTTATATTTTGTCAACAATTCAAACTCGTTAAAGTTGAAAAATATCAATTTCAAATAATTTGTAACTGTTGCGATTCAAAGTCAACATTTTTTTATATTTTCATTGGTAATTATGCTTTTTGACTGCGTTATAGGAAATTTAACATTTGTAATCGACGCGTTTATTTTTATTCAGGCTTTATAAACATGTCTAAATAACGAAATGTGACAGCTGATTAGATCTGTTCGTTTTCGATTGAGAGATTTTTGTGACTGTCACGTACTGAATTCCACAGTCGTCTTAAGTCACAAAAATTGTCTCTAATTCAAAAGCTCAAATTTTGCGACTTGTGACTGTATCAAAGTACTGAATTCCGATATGAATGTAAAATATTTATTTACATATCATCACCTAAAATTAAAAATAACGTAACATGACTTATCATAGGTCTACAGGAGAAGGAAAAAACGATATAAAATAGAAATTACTCATAGCGCAAAATATTTGAGCTTTGGTTATAACTTGGTGATATCTGTTAGCAGAAGTTTACATTTTTTTTGATAATACGAGTATATTTGTAGTTCACTACTAAACGCAATTTCCATTTTTTTTTCAATGTGATATGTTGTTTTGCATTTTAGCTGAAGATATGTACGAGGATATGTTGGTGGGCAAATTTTAACAATTTTTCTAGTACGAGAAGAAGGTATTATAACTACAGTGAATTCTCTATAGTTTTCCCTCATTAATACACATATACACATATGTACATGTGAAATTAGAGCCATATTATGATAGATGTATCTAATACAAATATCCTTACCTAAAAGAATTTTACGTACACACGAAAGGTATAAAATACACAACAATATGAACTTGTGGTCCAGTACTCAACCTAAAAGAACTAATATGCCGTATGTGTACTATTGTACAACTACATGCAGACAAGAGTGTGGATGAGTTAACTGTAATGCGCTGAAATAGAGCTACTTGCAGATATCTATATACATACTTGTATGTATATATGTAATATATAGCGATATATGTATATGCATGTAACATAACTGCAGTCGACTTCCGTCACAGGTCCGTCTCAACTCACCTCCACACGTATTCTCGCCGAGCGATATGTGCGATCCGCCGTATTTTGCGCCTGACAAGTGAATGTCGTATTGTGATGCTCCTTTTTCGGTGTCAACCGCAACGTCGATTGGGCGGTGAAGCGGCGCTCATCCGGCATCTGTAGCGTGGTGTAGTCAATGTCGCTCGTTATAACGTTGCCGAGTCCATCAATCCACGTTATCTGCAAACAAAAGTGCACACCAAACATATATATATAAATGTATGGTAACATATATAGTCGAACATGTAAATATGTAAAACAAATAAATAAACAGTAAGTGAGCGAGTGAATAAATGAACGGAAACACAAAACAGCAGCAAGGACTAAGGGATAAGCGTGTGAGGATCAAATTGTAAAAGCGTGTTGATGTGTGGTTAGCTTTATGCTGATCACAGCTGTATGGATTGTGGGCGGGGATTGACGTGCATTTTTACGAATCCAAGCAAATGGTAAAAAGGATAACAAATTAAAACATAAATTGCGCAAATATGTCGTTGAAGTGCAAAATAGCTGGATACCATTGACAACGACGCGCAGGTGTGTGCATTGCTGATACGCAAATATTCACTTTTATTTGCAAAGGTATTTGTAAAGGGAAAGAGAAAGGGGCGAGATGAGTTGGCGTTTTTACATCGATAGCGTTGAAATACGGTGGATTATAATTTTTTATATTTTTTGGCAGACTTTTGTTTGCGCACCCCTCAGTTTTCAAATGAAAGCAAACGCTTTTTTCATTGAAGTGGGTGTGGTGGCCGAGCGTTGCTCTCGTTATAGGCACATTTCAATTTGTGTTTCAATACATTTTAGTTGTTGCTGTTGAAAGTAAATGTGTTGACTGTGTAACAGGAGTGAGATAAATGGATTTCGTATACTCTCATAGCTACTACATATATAGGAATTACAGTTAGCGGGAGTTAAATTGTATCGCATACAAAATAGTGGCATACTCAATACTTAACGATGGTTCGGGTGAAAATTGGTTGAATATAAATTTTGGTAAAAATTTAGCAGCAATTTTAAATCGCCGTTTTATAGCTGAATTAAATTATATAGTTTAGCATATAACTTTGCGGGTTAACCAAAAAATAACCACAATACTAAACATATCTACTTAAAATGACGCGGATAATTATTACTCCGAAAATTTAGGTTAGTGTAGGTATTTAATTGCCATAAGTTTCACAAATAATATTATTATAAGTCTTGTAGGGGTGTAATAACTACGTATGTTTGAAATCAAGAACATAAATATATAATACCTAACAGTATAACAGCTTACCTCTGAAGCCGGTTTGCCACCCACCGACACGCACTCAATATCCACCTTACGATCCTCGGTCGTGTAAATCAGTTCACCTTGCGTAATCTTTGGTGCTTCGGGTGGCACCAACACCGTTATCGTTGCAAATGTCGACCGTATAGCCGGTTGACCCTCAGGTCCCGGACTCACTTGGCACTGATAGCGTGCATCGTCGTCTAGCATCACTGGATAAATATCCAATGAGTAATCGCCCTCCTCGTCGCTACCAATCATTGAGTAACGTTCAAAACCGCCCAAATCACGTGACGTGCCCAAACCGAAATCATCTTTGGTCCACTGCAGCACACCCTGTTTGTTGATGACGCGACATGGTAGCGTTACACGAGCCCCCACCACAGCCGTTTGATCTTGCGGTTCCATAGCGAAACGTTGATACTGATAAGCGCCATAATAGGATGAGGAGGAGGCGACAGACGGCACAGAAGCGGAATAAGCGGCGTCGTCAAGCGCCGCTACGGCGCTACCAACACCAGAATCCGCTGACAGGTGTTTAGCCTGCGTCACGGTGATCAGCGACAGCGGCGACGATGACGACATGATGCTGATGATGGCGATGATTTTGAATGGCAGCAGCAATTGCTGTAAGCTGCGTAGCGGGTTGAGTAACGCTATTCGCGTCGTGCCAGGCGCCACAGGTAAGTGTGCTGCGTGGGTGGTTGCTGTGGTTGAAGTAAATGCATACGGCATGACTGATGTGTCGGTGTTAGTCTAGCGTCGTAGCTTGAAATGGAAAGACAGTTGTTATTGTTATTGTCACTGTTGTTGTCGCTGCGAAGCGTTTGCGTGACGTAACGTAGATTATGTGATTGATGCGCACGAATTTCGTATCAATTTATTATTTTTCAATGCTGCAATGAAAATGTGAAAAGAAAATAAAAGGAAAGGAAATTATTAGAAAATCGGAAATTAAATTTGCGGATGCTGAATTTATGGGCAGCGATTTATTATTATTATTATTATTATTATTATTACTACTATTATTATTATTATTATTATTATTATAATTACACAAATTCTTTAAACTTTAAAGTATCCTTGTATTATATAAAACTATATCCTTAGCAAGCAGCTATACTGGGTAATATTCTGTCTTTAATAACTGTGCTTTGTTTAGTTTTCACTCCTTGTTGCTGTGTAAAAGATGTATGATTCTTTGTAAAGTCAGACCTACTCATAAAAAAGACAAAAAAATGTGTTTTTAATTTTAAATTATTTCGCTCTGGCGTATTTCGTGTGCTAACATTTTGGTTATCTTCGTAAAAGGAGCGCTTGTTTAATACAAAGCATTTTTAGAAATATTATTATAGTGTTTCAGTTAGAAATATGTAAATCCTTCTTTTTTATCACTTTTCATTCTAATTTTTATCCAGTTGTTAGTTCGGTTTTTGTTAAATATTAAAATTGGAATTAAAAATTGGAAATTATACTTTTAAATAAAAATTTTTTATTCGCAACCCTTCTCTTACCATACATGCACTAGTTGAAATATCCAACAAAAATGTTAATTTTACAAACTATTAAATGATTTCTATAATACATAAATGTAAAAAACACAAAACAAGAAGTTCTTATTAGAAGTGAGCTATAGTGAGAGAATAAATTTGGCAAACCAATCACATACTTATTTTTATAAAAGTATATTTGCATTACAACCGTTATAAGAGGCCAATGTAAACATGAATACTAACGCAAAGTGTGGAAATCTATCGATTTAAGCGTAATCCAAAATCTGTCGCACTGTATACAACCCTACAAGCATAATCAGCACACGAACGCCTGAAAGCAGACTACAGCCAGTGGACACATTGAAAATTTAAAAATTTGCATGCAAATTTGCTTTAATCAGAGGACACAGAGGAAACACGACATGCTGTAAAATCAAATGTTAAACGCGTTCTACGCCTTTACTTCCCTTACCCGACGAATCAGAAGGATTGAAAGAACCAATGAAAGCCTGCTGCTAAAGGCAGTGGCAGCGCACAAGTCTACTGGGTATAAAACGTACACACTTTTAGTATTGCATGGCGATTACGTTACAACTCGCGTACATACTTTAGGGTGTATCGAGCGCCATTGTGGTCCTGCAATGGAAGCGCGCCGGAAAGCGCGTCGGTCAGCAGCACGACGACGCTGCGTTGCGACAAATATGAATATTTAAAATTGTAGTTACACAAGCAACTGCATATAAAACGCACTCACACACCAACACAGTTAAGTGCAAAAACATACACAAAGACGTTTACATGCATATTTATAGCACTTTCGGCCACAGTCTAGCCGCCTGAGCGAATGCACCGACGTGCGCCTTTTTTGCATATAAATAAACCTCGCATTAAATTCGAATTACGCAAGGCCCATGGCTGTTGCAGTTAGCGACAACAACAAAACTACCAGTAATTTCTGGCGTCAGCCATGATGCTGCCAACAAATAACCGAAAAAAGGTGGAAAATCAAAGACTACACAAAAAGTGACGCTTCACCCCGCCAGCGTTGTGGCTGCGTCGCGCTGTTGCTGCTTTTATTGACGTTGCAAATTTAAAATTTGTCGCGTTTCCGAGCTGGGGGCCACCCAGCTAGTTGTCGTGGCTATGTTGCTGCTGCCGTTTGTGAGTGTGTGTTGTGTTGCATGAGGGGTTGGCGTGACGTTGCGGCGATGGCTTTCAGCGCCTCGATTGTGCTTGTACACTTATACACACACACGCAATTTAAGCTGTATATATGTAGGTGAAATGTGCAGCTACAGTGTCGGTAAAGCGATACCTTTGCTGTGGTTACCGCAGCGCCATGTGACTGTTGCAACATAAAATTATAGGCTTTTTCGTATTTCGCTTAATATTTATATACATACATCCATACATATATGTGTGTGTCACTGCGTGCATTCATGTTGCAGTAAACTGTAAACGCTGTTGACATAATTTTAATAATTTAATAAGCGTGTAATAATTTTGTTTAAGTTGGTATAAAATGGTAAATTATTGTATAAATTAAGAACGCACTGTAAAAATTATCCAGCACATGCTTGCATTGATTTTGTCTTGAAAATGTGGACTACTTGATTTTTATTGCCGAAAACTGATTTATCAGTAATTTATTTTTAATGACATTTTTAAGTAAAAGTTGTGAAATATTTACGAGTATATACAATAAAAAAATTAGAGTTGAAAGGAAAAACTATGAACTGACTCTTGTCAGTAAAAGAGTAAGCAACCCTCCTTTATTTTTTTAACTCATTAACTCGATGTCAAATGAAGAATAATGAAGAGTGTATTATGAAAATAGATTATAAGGAAATTCAACTGTTGCAGTAACTCCTGCTTTTTCCGTGGAAGAAACCTAAAAAAATCTCGGCTAGAAGATATTGTTCCTACGATAACCTATTGTCGAAAAAAATCAGAAGTTTACAACATAACGGCGTTTTAAAATAAAAGTTTAATGTTACTCAAAATTTCAGTCGTGAAAAATTATTGAATTTTTTGAAATACTTCTATTGTCCTAAACCATTATTCAATTGCAAAAATAGTGAACGTGTATTTTCCCTCTTCAAGCCGCTGTAGTGCTGAAGCATTCGGGTAAATCAGCTTCAGCACCTGAAACTTTAAACGTCGAAACTGTAATTTAATTGTCGTCAGAACACGTCCTCTTGAAGAATGTAATTCTCACAATGTACATATATATTTTGTATATTTTGTATAAAAATGTTAATTTAAAAATTACACTCAAATAAATTGATTCGTTTGATAGGCTTGAAAATAGCCACTTACTTTTGAAGTATGCATTGAAATCTAAAAATATTTTCGTCAAAGTGTCTGCAATGTGACCTTGAACACGTAAAGCCCTCACAAACACTTCGTTTTACCTAAAATTCCCACCCTATAAATCAATAATAACCATTTTAAGACACTGTATTAAATTATTTATGGGCTTAGGCTTAATACGAAAGCTAAAGGCCGTTACTTTCATATTTCATGCACATTTTTAATAACTAATAAATTTAAACAACTCATTCGGCCCTCTATACACACACCCATTTATTGATGTTACATGCCACTACCTAAATACACTTAACGCTTTCTGTTACACATATAAATACCATATACTAGTATATACTTAACTTGTAAAATTATATTACTTTTGGACGCACAACTCATCCTTCGACCTTTTCGGTTTAACCCAACACCCCAAAGAGCCTTCAACGAATGCAAACACCATAAATCATCAGCAAATTCTAACAAAAAAGAGAAACAGACATACCTACGTTTAGCGATGCCAAGCGTTGTTACAGAGTGTATTTAAACGGTCATAAAAGTATTTATGTGTAAGTCGTGCAAGGAATATGCAGCTGTGCAAACTCGAAATATTTTCCCTAGTTTTGACCTAATTTCTGGTGGAAAAGTTATTATTAAATTCACAAACGTCTTGGAAAACGTAGTACGTCCAATATATAATATGTACATATATACCATAGGTGTGTGCATAACTGTACACGAGCGAGTGGGTCGGTGTCGATTGATAACTTCGTGTGTGGTTAGCCGCATAACAATTAATAGCTGTTGACAGCTAACACATGACCTACTTTTTTGGTATATATATTGGTGTTCATATTTATAAGAAACGTTGAAAGACGTGGCTAGAGTCTCCTGCAAGTGGTCTTCATATATTCTTTTATACACTGGATAGGGTACATTAAATTTATCACGAAGTTTTTAACACACAGAAGGATACGTCGGGGACCCCACAAAATGTATATGCCATGTCCGTCTGTCTGTCCGTCTGTTCGCATTTCTGTATATACGCGAACTAGTCCCTCAGTTTTCAGATATCCATCTGAAATTTTGCACACGTCCTTCTCTCACCAAGAAGCTGCTTATTTGTTGGAACGGCCGATATCGGAATAATATATCATGTAGCTGCCATACAAACTGAAGGAACGGAATCAAGTGCTTGTTCGAGACATATTCACCAAATTTGGCATGGGTTATTGTCCAAAGCAACGGTGTAAAAAGAAATTGTTCAGATCGAGTCACTATATCATATAGTTACCATATAAATTGGCCGATCAAAACCAAGTTCCTGGAAAAAATATTCAGTTTTTTGTGAAGGGCATTACAGCTTGAGTGCAGCCGATGTTAACATTTCCCCTTATTTTTATACAATTTCCGCAACCGTTATATCAGCTTTTAACAGTTAGAGCAAATTACCACAATATGATGTTATGATATGCAATGTACTTTTATATTTTGTATATTTCTATGTAAGCAAAGCGTGTAAAATAGCCTCTACAATGGCATTTAACTCAATCATATTTAGGTATAACAACATTGCCGGTAATATCCAGCTGCCTATCGTATTGCATATTGTCACAACAACACATTTTTCGCCAAATTCAATAGTCGTTTGGTTAATGGAACGCCTCCATCATATAATCCTGCCATAATCATAATCATTGCGCTGATGAGTATGGCAATTTTCAGCTGCCGGCGGTTGACAGCGTTTGGCAGTTGGCAATTTGAGCGTTGCGACACACATTGTGCCAATAATTTGAGCGCGTTGCGCTCGAAATCGAAATATTATTTTGCTTGGCTTTATTATTATTTTGATTACATTTATTGATATTTTTTTTAGATCGGCTATTCTTATGCAAATACATATGTATAGATTATGCAAGTGTTTCAAAAGTTGATCAAATTTTAAATCTAAATATATAGCATTTTGTGTGAAGTTTTCCATAGACTATGAGCTCTTTCTCTCTCACCTTTTTGTAGATTTGTGTGAAGTTTCCTCTTTATATTTCAGTTAATCTTAACAAATACTAGCAATTTCTTCCGAAGAAAATATCCTATCATGA